AAGACTATGGGAGGATATGCAAAGACGGTATGCAAATATTATGCCATTTTATATAAGAGACTGGGAATCTGCAGATTTTGGTATCTGAAGGCACTGTCCTGGGATCAATTCCCTGTGAACACAAGAGACAACTGTACACTCAATTTTAACTATCTATTAAGCTTCATGCAAAAGTACTCTCAATTTACTATCTGAAGCATCTAACATCTTTAATACAATAAAAAGTTAGTCCACTAGCACCTTTCTCTTTGTTTATATACTACACATGCACACATGCATATACAGTCTTTTGTTCTGTATCTTGAATAATTTTTACAACAAGGCAGAGTAATCTTAAGTGTCTACAAGGGATGAAGAGCTTGATGAAAGGGAGGGAATTAAGTGGAGGGAAGAAAAATGAGCAAATCTTCCACACCAACTAACAACCTGATTTGCATTAGTTTTTGATATGCAACTTACACTGAAGTAGTCTAATTAATAATACAACTTCTTGGTCCCTGATAAATCTTAACTCTCACAATTTTGCCCCCAAACTTGTTTTTACTTCTAATCAAAACTTTCTCTGAGGTATCCTATGAAACAGGTCCACTTGAGTCAAAAAAGCACTTCGTACAAACCTATCTCATAAGTTTCCTTCCTCTTCTTGATATAGTAGTTCATTAATGTTTAAATTCTAACCATCTATAAGTGACCTGTCAACATCAATTGCCACAATTAACTGTTAACACAAAAATAATTCTATATAACCAAAATATTTTAATTTAAAAAATTTTTTAGAATCTTAAGTGTATGATATAATAAATATTTACTTATTTTAATATATCTAAAATGGCAGTATGTGGTGAGCTTAAAAAAATACACCCTGAAAATGTGCATATGTATATAATTTATATTTGTAATGTTACCACAGAAGAATCTGTATTATAAGTCTGTGATAACTGGCCTCTGCCCAATATTCAAAAAATTCCACAAATGAGTCTGTCATACTTTGAAAATCACAGAGAAAGCCCACTTCAAACTGCTTTCAATATGAGTGTCCTTACTTAAAGTATGACCCCTACATGTACCAAAAGAAAGCTATTTTTTTCTAGCTTCAGCAGTTTCGTTGGATCAAAGTATCATTTTTTGTATTAAAAATGACAATAACCAAATCTTTTTACTTTAGAAGTGAAAAATGAAAATTTTAGTTCCTACAACTTTAGTTTAAAAGATACTTTATATAAAACCACGGCAGTAACAATTAAGGAAACATTTGTAATTCTCTGCCACACTGTAGGAACTATGATTACTTAATATAATTCAAGGACTGGGTTGTGGCTCAGTGGTAGAGCACTTGCCTAGCACATGTGAAGCACTGGGTTCAATCCTCAGTGTCACATAAAAACTAAATAAAAGTATTGTGTCCTTTTAAAAACAAAAGATAATTCAATGTTTTATTTTTCCTATCTTAACAGTGAATGGGTACTTGTTCTCCTTTCTGTAATAGGCAGATAAAATATTTAAAAAGAGAAAAATGTTAGTCTTTTTTCTTTGAAAGTCAATTAAAACACTTTTAATATAGCACCCAATAAATACTACTCTACTAATATGAAGGCACACAAGGTATATCCAATTAGTTTTAATTGAATATAAAATTTCCTGTCATTCAAGGCTGTACCCATCTAAAATACATGCAGTGAGGAAAAACACTAAAATATTCTCTAAATCACTTAATAGTACGGATGAGCGTATGAAAGTTTAAATGGGTAGGAAATTTACCCAAATTCATTTAATAATAGTAATACTCATACATTCTCACTAAACTGAATGTCTATTTCAATAATAAATTAGATTTATTTGATACCATCATTCCTTTTACACTTCAACATCTTTGAATTAGTGATGTATTTTACAACTACTGGCATGTCTTATCAAAAGCAATTTCTGTTTCTAAATGGTGCTTCCAATGAAATACAAAACACTTTTCCAAATTAAAAAAGGTAGCTTCTTTTTAAATGTAAAACCACTGCCCTCAAAAAAGTTCTAAATGTGTGGTTCTATAAAATATAACCTTTTATATAAAAGTAAAAATGGCAAATTTAATGAAGTGACTAAATTCACTGCTTTGGTAAGAATACAATCGCTTAAATAATAAATAGATTTTATCAATGAAATATATCAGGCCACTTTCAAAGTTTTAAAGGAATAATTTCATACTACTTCTATCTTTCAAAGTATTTCTCCACCCCCATATTGAAACAAAATTAGAACAGAGCATGTACCCATAATATGATGCAGATAAAGACAACACTGCTATTTCTATTTACAGTATGAAAGATCAAATACAGTATATACATTTAAGCTAAGTAGAGAAGCCCATGTTTAACGAAATGTTTAGAGACATTAAAATATTTTAGAACTACTGACTTGGTTTACTAATACTGACAAAGTCACATCACTCTAACATGTCACATATTAAAATGCTATGTGGGGCTAGGGGCGTTGCTCAGTGCTAGAATGCAAGGTTAGCAGGCACAAACCCTAGTCTCATCCCCAGCACAGAACAAACCACCACTACATAATTCAGGGTCTAAAGTAGTTACTTCCTGCAGCACCTGAAACCACTGTTATTAAAACAGCTATGTTACTCCTAACATACTTCTAATAGTTAGCATTCCTGTGAAAGAACTGTGAGCAAAAGAAGCAGATCATAATTTCCTTCTAGCTATTTAAAAAGAGCATTTTCAAACATTTCCTAGGTTGGTTTCAAGATATAGTACTGCCAACTGATTAGGTAACTTTCACCTTCAGAACCTTCAAACCAGCTTAACACTTGAACTTATTTTGTTTTCAAGTTCCCACATGGAGGTGTAACAGTGATGAAAAGTCTGGGATCCATAAACACTAGGAAGCTTCACATTTTTCATAATTACTTAATTCAACTCAATGTCACTTAATTTTAGTCATGGTAAATGCAACTAAAGTAGTTGAAAAGAAATTCCACTCAATATTATTTCCTTAAGGACCAGGCCAATGTTTTCTAACATTAAAACTTTGCACCAATGTCGTAGTTCTTCCTCACTACCCTAAGAAAATTATCTCAAACTAACTCCAAATTATTCACTTAATTACCATGGAAATAAACAAAGTAAACAGTATTTAAACATTTCTGCTCTCACCTACTTTTTCAGAAAGTAAAATAGATAATGTACTATCTGTAGTCAAAACACCTTGTAAAAAAGAGATTTTATTTTTGGCCAGAAATCTTAAAGTTATCTTATGCATCTCTAGATGATCAGAGGTAAGGAAAACCAATCCAATTTTAATGGCTGGTGTGCTCTATCATTTTTGAAGGCTTGACAAACATATCTTAAGTACTTTTGATAAGCAAATAGTGAGTTGTTCAAAATGCACAGCAAAGAAAATGACTATTCATAGAACCAAATGAAAGCCTTCCATTAAAAACTAAAAAACATCAAAGGGGTTTTTAATATGTATATACTGTATATGCAAAACCCAAAAGAATATAAACAGCAAATAAATGAAACATAAAAGCAAAACCAAACAGGAAACCAACCCCAAATTTTTCTCCTGTTCAGTTTACCTGGGAAGCTAATCCCAAAAGTGTTAACCAGAGCCTACCAAACATATGATGGACACTTTGTTCTTGGTATACAAATTAGTATCTTAAAAGTCCACCAACACCACTATATCTATCTATCTATCTATCTATCTCTCTCTCTCTCTCTATATATATATATATATTTTGTTCAATTAAGTAATTCATGTCAGGCACATGAATTAAGAAAGTCTTTAGTGCTACTACTAAACTATGCAGAATACCAAATACAGTGTGAAACAAAGCAATGCAAGCATTTATGTGAAATATGGCTCCAAGCTAAATCTGGCTTCACTTAGCTATGTTAAAAAAGAACTGCCACCCTGCCACTGTATTTCTTTATAATACTTCTTATTTTATCTTCACAAAGACTAAAAACAATAAGCTGTAACTATGAGCAAATTTGCCAAACTTTTCCAATTTTCTATCAGATTTTAAAGAACATTTCATTACCTAAACTCTTCTTCACTTTCTCTGTATGTACATGAAGACCAACATACAGAGAAAAAGAAAAAAACTATGACTTACACAGTAAACATACACGGATGTTGCATACATACTATGAGACTGCATGATTTTAATAACAAAGTAAATGCTTTTTCTACCACACAGTTCTTTGTGTTGTTATAAGAATAATAGAAAATTTTCACAACTAAGCACATGCTTCTAATGATTCAGAGTCTTAAGAATTTGTAGGTTAAAAAAATACAATTCCTAGAACACTGTTATCAAACAAATAAGTTTTATTGGCATCTAAAAACAAAATTCACCCAACATTGAAACGTACTTTAATATTTATGTTGTTGTTTACTTCTTTTTTTTTTTTTTTCTTTTACTCACTGCAGTATGAGGAACAAATCACACACACTTACTTTGGAGTAACAGAGACCATAGTGTAGATTTTACAAAATCACTTTTTAAAATCTCTGTAGTATGCTCCTCAAATATCTAGAGCCAGTCTTTGCATAAAATATCACAGCTTTGTCTACTAACTTAAAATGCTGCAGCAGCCTAGAGATATGGATAAGATATACCACCACTTGCTATTTTGAAATATATCTATTACCATATCCAACCTACTGATAGTATCTAAAAAATTCTTTCTTCCATAGGAAGTCTCTGACAAGCTGTTATTCGTTTCCTTGACGTTAAAAGAATCTGGGGCAACATTTATATTTTATCAGAAAAATAAAAAAAAAGTTTACCTATCATGTTCATATTAAGAACAATGTCTATACAAGTCAGTTGTACAATTATTTTAAGAGAAAGGTGAACATGAACATCAGATTAACTTAATTCTGGCAGACAAAAGTGAACAACTATGGTCCAGTCAGCCATTAATCTATTACAGAGAGATGACAACTTTACAAAAGGTATCTTTTACCTACTGAGTGATGATTATGTCCCCTCAGTTTCTGTGCTTTCTACCACCACTGGTTCACTTTCTATATCAGCAACTGTGTCACTCTTCTCCTTGTTTATGTCACTTGAAGACGTCAGTTTTTCATAAAGTTCAGGATCATTCTGTACTGGTAAAGGCGGTGGTTGAGCATGTCTCTCTGTATTTTCACCATTAACCTGAGGCACATTATCACCTTTTCGTTGAGAAGTGGCCCCTTCAAAATAATCAAAAACCCGAGCGTGAGGAGGGGGGACCCAAGTGTTTTGAATTCTATCTCGTCCAAGACGATTTCCATTCATTTCTCTGCAGAAATCAAAATCTCTGTCATCCCTATCCCTCTGCCTTTCCCAGGGTCTTCTGCGGTCATCAAAATCTCTGTGAACTTCTTGTCCAAATCCTCTGTTCCAAGGACCACTTCTAGGATCAAATCGGTAGCTTCCAGCCCGAAATCTACCTCTTTCATCATGTAATCCTTTTGGACCACCATAGACAGGGAGAACCCGGTGCTCTCTCTCATCAAAATCTCCTCTATGCCCCCAGGGCTTCTCTGGAGTAAAGCCAAAGTGGTCTCTTCGACCAAGATGATCTATACCTGGCCTCACAAGATTCTCTCTGATATCTACAGGAGGTCTTCCAAAATGATCCCTACCGTCTAATGGAGGCCTTCCAGGACCTTCTCTTGGATCTATAGGCCGCCCAACCACATCCCTAACATCCACTGGGGGAGGTCTACTAATGCTCTCCCTGGTTTCTATGGGAGGAAACCGGTAATCTCTATCTCCTTCCTGTTGAATGTTATCACTCCCAAGCGGTATCCTTTTTTCTGGGTTAATAACATTTTCTACACTTTGTCTTCCAGGAGCTAGAAAAGGTCTTTCTGGCTGACTAAAAATATCTCCTGGAGGAAAAGGTCCACGGGGTGGTGGATGAAGAGCTGAATCAAGTACCGATGGGGGAGGGATTCCACGTTGGGGTGGAATTCCAGGTTGTATTAAAGGGAATCTTGGTCCAGGGGCCTGTGGTATTAGTCCTGGACGAATGTCTAATATTGGCATTGCAGGCATCCTTTGACTTGGGATATTTAAAGGGGGTAAATTTTGAGGTCCAGCAGGTGGCTGTGTTCCCAAAAGTCCAGAAGTGTTTGTGACATTTGGTGGCTGTACTCCTACAAGTCCAGAATTATTCGGCATATTTGGGGGTAGCACTCCCAAAAGTCCAGAACTATTTGACACATTCGGTGGCTGTATTCCCAAAATTCCAGAGTTATTTAGAATATTTGGTGGTTGAGCTCCAATAATCCCAGAACTACTGGAAATATTAGATGGTCGGACTCCAAGAATTTCAGAGTTACTTGATACATTTGGTCTTTGGACTCCCAAAATTCCAGAATTGCTTGTCACATTAGGCGGCTGTGCTCCTAAAATTGCAGCATTACTTGAAATATCATTCGGAATCACTAAAAGCGGAAAGAAGAGAAATAATTCAAAATAATAGTTATTCTGGCATGAAAAGGAAACTTCACTTATAAATTATTAATGCTATAATTTCCAGTAATTAGCTGGAGTTAATCAGTTATTTGTATCCACAAAAATCAAGCTATACTAAACACTAAATAAAAATTGAGTTTAAATTATTAAAATTGGGGCTGGGGTTTTGGCTTAGAGGTAGAGAGCTCGCCTAGCACGTGCAAGGCCCTGAGTTCAATCCTTAGTACCACATAAAAATAAATAAAGGTATTGTGTCCAACTACAACTAAAAAATACATATTAAAATTTTTTTTAATTATTAAAATTATACAAAGTGAAATTTAAATATTAAAACTTAAGTGGGACTGTTCTATAAAACTTTACACTGATTCACTTACCTTTAATGGAAAGCCTTTTTAAAACATAATTTTTAATATACCAATAGCAGGGCCATAACAAAAGAACTTAAATGCTTTCAAACACCGTATTTATCATCCAGATCTAACTGGATAATATCTAGGATTGGTAGAAGTTATTCATACCTAATACTTGCTCATTTCATTTTCTTATAAACATACAGGTTCTGTGCAGCTTTATTTTCATAATAATCCACTGAGGCAGGCCAAAAAGGTGCAAGGGAACCGAAATCTACATTATTCTGAGTAAAATGTCATTTAAAAAATCAAAGTCGCTAGGTATAGTGATGTCTCTCTCTCTCTCTGAAAATTACAATATTTCAACATCTGTGCAAATGCATGCCACCCCAGAATTAAATATCAATACATAAAGAAATGCTATGAGATTTAATAGCATTTCTAGAGATTTATTTTATTTATTTTTTACCTGATCTGCTGTTTTCACCAGAAGAAATCTGGTGTTCTAAAAGATGAGGTACTTTTTCTTCAGGCTCTGCTTGTTTAGGTGGAGGATTAAAAACATTTCCAGCTGGTAGAGCAGAAGTAGCAAGACTGCTGGCAACTGGACCACCTGGTAAAACAAGACTACCAAATCCAACATCCTTCACAGCTTCAGGGGTCATGGACAGTGGCGGTTGCACTAAGGCTGTTTAAAGAGAGAAAAATGTATCTCAGATTTATTAGCTAATGAATTCATATTTTCTGGCTGCTTGAATGATTCACTTTATGGCATCTTTATTACTAAGGACATTATATAATAAATAATGCTCAAAAGGACCAATAAGTTATCATGAAGAGACTAAGGCATATTTACAAAACTTTACTTTTAAAAATAGGGAACACCAACAGGTATAAGAAGTATTTTTTTTAACAGAAGTGTTTAGTAAAGCAAGAACCAGGACTAAAGAAAATTCCAGAAATACAAAAAATTACTTTTCCAAAGACACTAGCCAGAAAAGCAAAATATACAGAAATGATTAGCACAGACTAAATGATTAGCATCAGAATGAAAATCTGCCCATTCTCCTTGAACCTACAAGGTACATTCTTACATTCACTACCTTTTTTCAAATGAAATTAGAAATACAGATGAGATGGACTACAAATACAAAGCTATTGAAACCATGTTTTAAAGAACTGATAGAACAATTCTCAAGACCAAACGTCATCTATATGTTAAAAAGCAGAACTAGAGGAATGTTAATTACACAACTATGATTTTCAAATCATATTTGGAGATCTTAGGAAATATTTTTCCTCACATTTGACTCTAGAGTTACCAGGACAAACTGTTAGCACATAAGAGAGCAGTAAAATACAGATTAAAACCCCTATGATCAGGCAACAGGAAGTATTAAAAATGAGACAGAGTGTGCAAGCAATCTGGAGCACACCAGAACTTCTTTCTATTAATCAATTCCTGATTTTCCAAACTAATAAACTAGGAATAATTAGGAGGCAGGATCTAGCGTAATTTGTATGAATTCAGAAATAACTTCTGAACACTTAGTCTAATTTTCTGAAATAAATAATTATTCCTAATTAACCAAGAATATTAAAAAGGAAAGATTCTAATGTGGCCTAAACACTAAAAGAAGAATTCATTTAAGAATCCTAAGAAGGGGCTGGGGATGTGGCTCAAGTGGTAGCACGCTCGCCTGGCATGTGTGCGGCCCAGGTTCGATCCTCAGCACCACATACAAAGATGTTGTGTCCGCCGAGAATTTAAAAATAAAATAATAAAAAATTCTCTCTCTCTCCCCCCCCCACTCTCTCTTTAAAAAAAAAAAAAGAATCCTAAGAAAATACTGGATTAGACAAAAGGAAATGAAGGGAAGAGAGGGTAATGGGACTAGGGAAGACAGTAGAATGAACGGGACAGAACATTCCTATGTTTATATATGAATACAAGACAGGTGAAACTCAACATCATGTACAACCACAAAAATGGGAAGTTATACTCCATGTAGGTATAGTATGACAAAATACACTCTATTGTCATGTATACACAAGAACAAACAAAAAAGAATATTAAGAAAATGCATTAGATATCCAAAGTTAAGATCTCTATTTAGCATATATATTCTCTTGTAATATGGGCCTTTTCAGGTCTAATTTTTGACATAAGCTTGACCCAAATTACTAAAGGTTTGTTTAGAAGATTAAAGAATAGCTACAGGGAAAACACACGAAAGCAATAAAAATGAATAAAAGTGCATATTTAACATTTCTGAAATGTCCAAAAATAGGAAAAAAGACTAAGGAATTAAAGGTAATAAATGTCTGTAATGATTTACATTTCAGTTCTTGTTTTCCTTTTGAAATGTTTATTCTAGTAAAGAAAACCAGGTAGGCTGGGGTGCCTATTCTATGAAAATGTCAAAAAAATGAAAAATTCACACATGAAGCTGGTGCCACTACTACAAAGAGCAAATTATGTTTTCAGGTGACTGAAGGTTAAGGGCAACTTGATCATACATTTTCAATAAATACATATTCTGAGGATAAAGATATCAGTGGAGAAATGTTAAGTTTCATCCAGAATGCTTGTTAGCACTAATACTGGCCTTTTCACAAAAAACTACTGTGTATTGGGTGTGCAGGTTTTAATTATAAGAATGAAAATAAGTAATCAAATTAATGTTTTCAGTAGAATATAAATTTAAAAATCAAAGTAGCTAAGTAAAAAAAAGTTCTATAAAGTCAAATTTGTTTTACAGTGTATGTTCATATTTTTTTTTCCTTTTCAAAACATGTATTGTCTAGTTTTATATACTGAAAATTCCTATGCCCAAAGAAATCGCAAAAGCAAAATGAAAATCTTATACCCCAATTGTGACCTCTAAATACTATATCCCATTTGGAGAAATGATGGATTCTTGAACTAGAGCAGGAAAAACACAAAATCAGTCAGGGACACAATGGGCCAAAAAAAGGCTAAGAAGCCTTGAAAAACTAATGCAATCAACCTAACAAAGAAGCAACACATAGGTTCTCCAAATTGTTCAAAGATGAAGCAATCTGAACTTCATGAAGAACAATAAATGCAAGTGATTGGAAGAAAGTCTTTTAATCCATAAACACTGAGAAAGCAATCAAAAAAAAAAAAAAAAGGAAGAAGGGAGGACAAGGGAGAGGAAGAGGAGAGATATAAGAAATCCTCCCTGCCTCAGTTATTGGTTATCACAGGAATGCTCCCTAGAACTAAAACATCATACTGAAAGATAGAAATTAAAGATTTCACATCTACCCTGACTTTCCTGCCCAGACTAAACAAGTACCATTAGCTGATGAGAAATAATTTGTTTTTTCTTTAAATTAAAAAAACTCTAGTTAAGGAATGTAGAAGGAATTCTAGATTTTAAAAGATACAACTTTGCAATTAATGGCAAATAATTCAAGCAACAATGGCTAATGGATGAAACCATCATATAAAAACTTGAAGGGAAATGTTTCAAATGACCAAGTTCCACTACCTGAATGTTCTGATCCATCATAACATCATTAAAAGTGGAAAATACACCAAAGGCTAACCCTAATGTAAACTATGAACTTTTTCTGTAATCATGTCTCAATGTGGGTTCATCAGCATAACTATACACCATTCTGGAGAGGCTAGGCATGTCAAGAGTGCGAGTATATAGGAAATTTCTGTACCTTTGGCTCAATTTTACCATGAACCTAAAACTGCTCTAAAAAACAAAGTAAACCACAAGGTAAAAAGATAAGATGCTACATGACTTCTGATGTGATGTCATGCCAAGTTTAAGGCATTTGGCATTTGTGAAAAAAGCTAAACTAGGATCTAAATCTTTAGTGCTCACTTCCTTTGCATAAGAAATGTAGAGACACAGGAAAAAATTTAATACCACAAAGATGCAAAAATTCTAATCCATTATTTGGGATCTTGTATATATATAAAAACTGAACTGTTTCTTCAACATGTCATGAAGAATAATGAAATGGAAGGAGAGTTTAGGTGAATCTGCTCTAGATTAAGACATTTAATAAAGCAAACAAAAACCACAAACATGATGGGGGGTAAAAACTGAACTGTTTCTTCAACATGTCATGAAGAATAATGAAATGGAAGCAGACTTTAGGTGAATCTGCTCTAGATTAAGACATTTAATAAAGCAAACAAAAACCACAAATATGATGGGGGGATCTTCTTTGAATTTTGACTTTCTGACTACTAAACTCAATTACAGAAAAACACTTTGGGACAACTGAGCAAATATAAAAATTGCCATAATACTGTTAATTTTTAGAAATCATCTAACAAATACATTTGTTTGAAAACTTTCATTAAAAAAATAAATTCACAGGAATTACAACCAATACACTTAATACTAATGGAAATAAAGAAAATTCTAAGTAGAAAACTCACATGTTGGTACTACTGGTGGAATTGCAGGGGGTGGTACAACAGGCGGGGGAACTGGAGGGGGCATGAAACCTACATAGGAGAAAAAAAAGACCAAAAATAAAACAGTAAAAGAAAAAGTATTTGTTTCAAATCAGAGATTTCAATAGCTATAAATGAAATTCCACATTCTTCTCTTTTATAGAGATGGGGATCCCATTGTGTTGCCCAGGTTGACCTTGAACTCCTGTGCTAAAGTGATCCATCAAGCCTCAGCTTCCTGGGCAGTTGGCACTACAGGTGCACATGACCACATCCAGCAAAATTCCACTGTTTATTACTATGCCCTCATATTTGTGCATATATTTTCTATTTTTTAAATGACATTTATGTAAAGCATGTACTTTATTAAATCCTAAATTAGGATTAAGCAGGGAGATACTGATCATAAACACATTTATGTATTTACTCATTCAAGTCCTGAGACACACTCTGTGCTGCTATAAAACCAATGATTAATTCAAGTCAGCTAACCTATTTACATTAAGCACAGAGTGTGCATGGGGACAGTGAAACACATTTCAAACTACTGATCACATTATATGCAATGTCATCTATGAGACACACCATTTTAGTTCTTTGATACATATGCTGTTTACCCATTAGATCAAAATATTTTCATTAATCTTAGAGACACAATATGTTTTGAGGACTGGAATAAGTTTTCATTTTAATACTGCCTTTTTTATTATTTTAAAGATCAAATGATCATGCTATGAATCTGATTCTTTGCATTTTTTATTTTAAACCAAGCCACCAGTAAACTTAATTAGAAAACAGTAATAAAAATGAAGATATTATCAACAAATTCAATGATGGAAAATAATTTACCAAGTCTATGTGGCATAATTATTAAAAGTATAATTTCACAATAGCTTCAGAAATTTTCATTTTCAAATGAATACAGAAAATAATGGAAAAGAGTAATTTCTTTCTTTTTTTGTGATACTGGAGGATTGAAATAAGGAGCATCCTACCACTGAGCTAAATCCATAGCCCTTCTGATTTTCTTTATATTGGGACAGGGTTCAGCCAAGGCCATCCCAGAACTTGTGATCTCCCTGCCTCGGCCTCCCAAGTTGCTGGAATCACAGGAATGTGCCACCATGCTCAGTAACAGGAAAGATTTTTCAACATTTAAAATATTAAAGATAAAATTCTTATTAAAATCTGTCCATTTTAGGAGCTGGGGTTGTGGCTCAGTGGTAGAGCGTTAACCTTAGCATATTTGAAGTCCTGGGGTCGATTCTCAGCACCACATAAAAATAAATAAATAAAATAAAGGTACTTTGTTTAACCACAACTAAAAAATAAGTATTAAAAAAATCTTTCAATTTTATATTATATATTAAACAGCAATTAAATTTTTTATATTAACCTGAAAAATAAAGCATTCTATGAAGATTAATTTACTTTTTTGGGGCATGGGAGGGGGGCGGGGGGGCCCCACCGGGGATTGAATTCAGGGGCACTCAACCAGTGAGCCACATCCCCAGCCCTATTCTGTATTTTATTTAGAGACAGGGTCTCACTGAGCTGCTTAGCATCCCACTGTTGCTAAGGCTGGCTTTGAACTCACAATCCTCCTGTCTCAGCCTCCAGAACCACAGGGATTACAAGTGTGTGCCACCACGTCCAACATTAATTTACTTTCTACTCTTGTTGACCATTTTTAAGAACTATATCCAATGGTTAAGAATATAAATCAAAGAAAACAAAGTACTTCTTTTAATGTGCAAATAATTTATGAACCTAAAAACTATTTTGAGAAACAATACCTAAATCACTTGATTCCTGTATCTCTCCCTCATTCCTTTAACTTTCCATGGTCTAATAAAAGCTCTATAAGCTTTATAAAGCAATTACATATACTTAATTGTTAAGATGTGTGTTAAGGGCTGGGGTTGTGGCTCAGTAGTAGATCACTCGCCCAGCACATGCAAGGCCTTGGGTTTGATCCTCAGCACCACATAAAAATAAAACAAAGATATTGTGTCCATTACAACTAAAAAATAAAATTAAAAAAAAAAAAAGATGTGTGTTAAGTAATTTATAGTTTTAACATAAAAGCACTGATTTGGGCACTTTTGCTTATCAACAATTTATTAGGCCAACAAAAATATTCCAAGTTCAATCAGAATTTTAAAATATAATTTCTAATATAATGGAACAATCTACAGAATTTTGTGCAAACTTTCTGATCAAAAAATAATAATTATAAATAACTTTCAGCTGGGCAAGGTGGTGTATGCCTGTAATCCCAGTTATTTGGAAGGCTAAGGCAGGAGGATTGCAAGTTCAAAGCCAGCCTCAGCAATTTAGAGAGCAACTTACCAAGACCCTATTTCAAAACAAAAAATTAACAGTCTGGGATGTGGCTCAATGGTTAAGAACTCCTTGGTTGATCCCCAGTACCAAAAGTTTTACATTAAGTGTTGTTATCTTCAATTATTTTAAAGGAATTCCTTTTTCTCTGTCAGTGCTTCTTCCAGAAATGTGCCTTCTGAGCACAAATTAGTAATGAAAACACTCTGGCCCATCTACAAACTTAGAGGAACAAAATCTGGTATGCTAAGGTCTAAGAACCACTGGCTCCTTGACATTTAAGCCTGGAAAAAGAACAACTTTGATGATATTCTAAATACAGTTCAAATAATAAGGTGAGTAGAGTGTTTGCTTTGCATGCACAAAGGCCCGGTTTCAATCCTCAGCAACACAAAATAATAATGTGAAAATTTCTTACCAGGAGGTGGTTGTGAAGGGTTAAAACTTGCTCGCAGAAAAGGTGGTGGAGGTATTGGGCTGAATCCAGGAGGCGGAACTGGCATGGACACAGGAAATGCTGGTGGAACTAAACTAACTGTAGGCACCGCTGGTGCTACTGGAATCTTTAGTGGATAGGAATTTTAAAAAAAGCCACTTATCAGTTTATTCACTTGCAATGATCACATCTTGGGATAGCTAAAGGTAAATTTTACATGTATGTGTAGACTTTTAGGAAAGCAACCAAATATCATTACCAACCCCCACAATTTTGTCAATGAGTATACTTATTATGGTAAAAGCAAGGCAATAAAACACAATAGATAATTTACTTGGAGATTGTGAAATCTTTCTTATATTCAAATGATGTAAAATTATGGATGCCTGGTTGAATACTTGAATATTAGGATTAATTTTCAACTGCCTACTAATCTCCTATTAAGCCTAGATAATACCTACCAATGTCACAACACACCATTAGAAAACATGAAATAACAGCTTTAGAATGGCTCAAATTTCTCTTACATTTATCTTCTTATCCCAACATGAATATCCTTTACTCATCTTAGGTACAAAATTTCCTAAAAATTTACCTGCTGCATAGCTTTACCTAAATTTCCCACTGTATCAACTGTCTATTCAACATCTCAAGTTCACTGTCTAAAAGATACTTCATACTTAATATGCACATACAAAACAACAAACTCCCAACTGTGCTTCCCAAAAGAACTCTTCTCGTAGTCTTTTCCATTCTTATTAATGGTAAATCCATCTTTCTAATATCTTAGACCAGGGAAAAAAAAATCCTTGTCTCTGCTTTTTCTCACAAATCCATATTAAATACTTCTAGAAGTCCCATTGATCATAACTTCAAAGCATGTCTAATATTTATCCAATTCTGATTACTGCCACAACTAGCATGCTATTTGGAGTAAACCATCATATCTCACCTTTATTGCTATATTGGTTTTTAACTGGGCTCCCTGCTATTATCAATGCTCATTATAGCCTATTTTCAAAATAGTAGTCAGCACATTCCTTTAAAACTATCACGTCAGATCAAGTCATTCCTCTGCTCAAAATCCTCCAATGGTTCATCTCATTCAGAATGACAACCAAAGACCTTAGAGAGGTTTATTGTCACTAACCTGCCTCTCACTGGCCTTACTTTAGCCACTTACAGTTTCACGGCACCTGGAACACACCAAGTATGTTCCTGGCATACAGCCTTCCAATTGGTGGTTCCCTTTACCTAGTGGGCTCCTCCTCAGATATCCACATGATTAACTCCCTTAGTACCTTTGTTGCTCAAATGTTAAGATTCTCAACTAGGTCTAACCTGGCCATTGTATTTAAAATTATAAGGACCTACCCAGACACTCCCAACCAGTTTCAGACTATCTTTACCCTTCCATAGCATCTCTCTCATATTTTACATTCTCTCTTCCCTATTGAAAATGAAAGCAGGATTTTTTTTCCCCCTCACTAATGTGTTGCTCTAACCCCAGGTTCCTAAAATAGTGCATGTCTCAGAGCCAGAACTCATTAAACAAAGAAAACAATCATGCAAGTTTGCAGAGGCAATATTTTCCACATTTACCTTTTTTAAACTTCTTGTTTGGCACAATGATACCATAGCACCAGCAAAAAATCTTTTAAAAAGACTAAAGAGATTTAAAAGAAAAATTCTTTGCCTAACATTACTGACAAGACCTCTTTCCTACTTTGAACAATTTCCTCCAAGTTTTTATAAAGTAAATAGTGAATACATAAGTAAATACAGAAATGTAAAACAACATATATTTTTTAAAAAGAAGGAAAAAAAAAAAAAACCACACAGTACTAACCTGCAACATGGCAACAGGTGGAGGGAAAACCTCTGCCTGGGTTGTGACCACTGTCTCCTTTTCAACTGGAGTTGGACTCTGAGTTGTCTGGACCGTCTCTTTAATGGGTTCTGAGCTCTTCACTGTTTCCCATTCTAAACAAAATATTTGAAATTAATTTCCTTTGGATAGGTGCAACTTTTCAATTTTTCCTATTTATACATCTATATCACATCTAAATCCTTCATCTACCTTGGTAAACTTTAGAAAACATCTACAACTTCAGTGCACTCTAGGTTTTTGCCCAGATACTAAGGAGTCCAAAAAAGCTTGATAAACAAGACATTTAAAGATAACACTTAGAAGAGATATAATAGAAATATATCACAAAGGATGTTAGATATACAAGGAACCAGCCTTATCTATATTTTCATCACAAGATACAAGAAGAGACCAACAAAGGAAGTATTAACCCAATACAGAAAAATCTTCCTGAAAATACAACTATGCAAAAATAGCACAAAGAGGCCCTATGGGTCCCCCTGAGGTTCTCCAACTCATTTAGACTAAAAAAATCAAATAAGATTAATAAGAATTTACCCCTTTGTACCCCTTAGCCTTCATCTCATACTCCTCCCTCACCCGCTCTGCTAAAGCTATACCAGTCTCCAAATTTCTGAATATAGACTTGCACTTCATGTTCCCTCTGACTGAATACATTCTCCCCCAGAGGCTATCTCACCTCTTTAAATAACTATCTCTCCACCAGACCTACAAATCACTTAAAAACTGTAATACTTAAACAGCCATATGCTTATCTTCCTTCTCTGCTTTTTTTTCTTATAACTTATTGACACAAACACTATACTGTTTGTATTTTTTTGTATGTATTATCTATTTCCATTATAACATGGATTAGCAATCTCTTCCTATATAAGTATCACAGACTTTGTGGGCAATATGCTCCCTGTTGCAACCATTCAACTAATATTGCAAACAACAAGTCATATGAAATAGGTAACCAAGTGAGACTATTATATTTCAATACATTTTTTGTGCAGAACAGCACACTGGCAGGATTTGACCGATGAACTGTGACCCCTGTGCTATACCTCATGTCAGTAATAATTTTTTGTATATTAGTCTCTGTCATAATTTCCATTCCAAAAATTAGGACTTACAAAAAAAAAAAAAAAAAAAAACCAAAGTCTCTATTAAAAGAAAGAACGTTCTGGAGAAGAAGCTGAGGTGGGGTAAGGGAGACTAACAAAGAAAACAACTAAGGTCTTGCTTGACATTGGACTCAGGACCTTCATCCAGGCTAAGCACATACTCTGAGCTACATTTCCTACCAAGAAAATACACTGAGCTACATTTCCTACCAAGAAAATAACAGAAAGAAATTGTATAAAAATATCTACATTGGCCCAAGACCAAAAATATTGTGGAAATCAGCCAATTTTAATGAGAGCTAAAATGTGAAGAAATAAGTCACCAATCATATTTCAATTCTTTCCCAAATATCAACTTAATATTTCCTTCTGGATATAACTGCTAATTATCTTGTGAATTTATAACTGAAATCTTTTAATACAAAAAAGGTAATTTTTTAAAAAAAAAGCAGACCAAATGATGTAGGTACTCCAGAAGTATTATTATATTGCATGAATGTGAATTGCAGCTTTTTAGACGAAGACTCTATTACTGGGGAGGCTGAGGCAACCGAATTGCAAGTTTAAATCCAACCAGCAAAAGTGAGGTGCTAAGCCTGTCACTAAAGAAAATACAAAATAGGGCTGGAGACATGCCACAGTGGTTTAGTGTCCCTGAATTCAATACCCGGTACCACCCCCCCACACACACAAACACAAATTCTATTACTGCTCTTCCCAACATGGACAATATTCAAAATAATCTGGAGAGCTTCTCAAAGACTTTCAAGCTCTCATTTCCCACTGAACTCAAAAAATTAAAAATGTTTAGTCAAAAAACCTTCCACATACACAAGTGTCAAAAAATAAGATATACATGAGGAATGCTACATTTACAATATACTTCTAATCCACAATTTTCTAACTATGCTTTTAAGACTTATGAAATAGGACCCATTAAACATATACAATGGACACAGCAGTGTTCTTTTCCCTCTTCTTTGGGAGATGAATTCAGTAAACAAAATAGAACAGATCACTCTATCACCCTAAATCCCATTTCAAATACAACCTTCTAAATGTACCTTTTTAAATAATAAAATGGCCTTAGGGGGCTGGAGTTGTGGCTCAGTGGTAGAGCACTCGCCTAGCACACGTGAGGTACTGGGTTCAATCCTCAGCAACATATAAAAATAAAATAAAGGTTATTGTGTCTATCTACAATTAAAACAAATATTTTTAAAAAAGGATTTAAAAATGGCCTTAGGGTTCTTACCAGTATTTACAGTTTCCTGATCAATCATGCCTCCTTCTGCAAAACCATCCAAATCATCCACTTTAACTTTTTCCCATGGTATATATGTAACTCCAAGATCCACATCCCAGAATTGTTTGTATTCTGTTTTTACACCTTTATTTAAAGCCCAAGCAATCTATTGGGAATGGGGAGAGGAAAAAAAGGAAGCTCTTATGTGTACTATAACAACAATGCAAAAAGTTCAAAACTTTATATTAATACTACAAATACAAATAAAATTAGTTTTGCTAATTTAAATCTGCATTAGTATAGTGTGTATGAGATTTATTTCCACTTCCTACTGTAATGCTAAAATAATACATTTCCAGAGACAATCCAAATATTGTTTTCACTATAAAAAGGTCAAATTCACATTAGCAATAATTAGGATAGTTATTACAATTCAAACAAAACCTGTACACCAAGAAAGAAAATGACTAGCTATACTTGAGTTTACAAAAATAACTTTGCCATGAAATGGCAAATAAAATAAACAGAAAGGAAGCTCATAAAATGGTGCCCTTGTTTACTCAGAAAATTGTACAAGTGTGGTTTTAAGGAATAATTTGACTAATGTTTGGTTACTGGACTTATTTTACCTATATCTAATTCTGTAACTCAACAATACTGAAGGAATGTTTCTGATGAGCTGTACCTATAACATTAAAATGAAAACAAGGCTAAGGGCTGTAGCTCAGTGGTACAGTGCATGCTCCACAGGCTTGAGCCCTGGGCTCAATCTCTGGCAGTACACCATGGGAGAAAAAAATGAATACAGCCAGGTGCAGCAGCATATGCCTGTAATCCCAGTAGCTCAGGCAGGATCATGAGTTCAAAGCCAGTCTCAGCAAAAGCAAGGCTCTAAGCAACTCATGAGACCCTATCTCTAAATAAAATACAAAATAGGGTTGGGGATGTGGCTCAGTGGTCAAGTGTCCCTGAGTTCAATCCCCCAGTACCCACCACACCCTCAAAAAAAACGCCAAAAAATAGTTGAAAATCCCTCCCATCCCCTGCTCCTCCAAATCTCACCTTAATAACCTTGGAACCGATTTTATATGATCCGGAACTCAGTTTCTGAAGAGCCCGAAATGCATCTTGTCGATGTACCATACAGACATAAGCACAACCCCTGGGAGGAATCATCTATTTAAAAAAAATAACTTTTTTTTTAGAGTATAAGGATGGAAATTCATGTTGGATTTTACAGTTTTAGTGAAACAGAACACTGACTACTAACTAATACACCAATTTTTGTAGGTTAATCAACTAATTTCCCCTGTCCTTCTGTTTACTGATTTTGTTTATGTATTATTAATATTATTTATGTACAATTAACTCAGTTAAAAATAAACAAAATTCAAAACCTAATTTGGCTTCATTTTAAGTCATATGTGAAATCTTAAATATTGAATGTTAAGATTTCTTGAGTACAAAATAAAGAACTATTAAAACAAAATAAATGTGTATCTCCATATATAAAATACTACCAAATAAAAGGGAAATAATATTGTATAGCCAAAATGTTTGAAGGCAAATAATTTATTTCTAGTGATACTCTCAACTTTTCCAAATGATTAACTAAGGAATGTGTGAAGGGTTTTGTTTTGGGGAAGTATCATCCTTAATATAAAATCTGTACTCTTTAACAATCGATGATAAAACTACATTTGTTTTATTTTGAACAAGACTTCTGAACAAAGGTTTTAACAATAGGAAAATAATCTTAGTTACAGATCTGAAGAATGATTCGTGAAGCATGTAAACTACTACACTCAAGTGCCCATGTGAGAGTGATTACTATTCTGTGAGACTGTTTCTTATATTCATCTTAAAAAAGAGAGAGGAAACAATACTAGGTCACATACAGTGTTCCTGCTAATTCAAACATTTGATGTTAAGAAAAAAGTTCTAGTTGGGTGTGCTGGTGGTGTAACACCAGCAATTCAGGAGGCTTATGCAGGAGGATAACAAGCCCAAGGTCAGTCCTGGTAACTTAGTGAAACCCTGCTTTAAATTTTAAAAAAAGGAACGTACCTCAGTAGTATAGCACTTCTGGGTTCAATCACCTGTATTGCAAAACTAAATAAATACAGTGCTAAACTGCTAAAAAATCTACTACTAAGCTTAACTAGGAACTAAAGTAGATTCTTTAAATGAGTGAAAAGCTCGACTTTTAAAATTCAAATTATCATTTAAAAGCTGGTACTTACATTAATGGATTCAATTTGTCCAAACTCTTCAAAAAGATTGGTTAAATCTTGCTGTGTCGCTTTCTTGTCTACCTGACCAACCCAGAGAGTAGTGCTACATACTGTCAAGAAATAAAATAGACAAAATGACCTAAATCACAAAGATATATAGTTACTTCTTTCAAGTAACTTGAGGAAAAAGTATTAATGACAGATAAAATTCATGATAATATACTTAAAATACTTATTAATGGACACTTATATCTGTTATGTTTTTGATTGAATCAATTCCAACTATTCAGTCACATTTCCACTGTGTCAACCTGTTCTCAATTTTACCAGTGTCTGCTGTAGGAGACTGTGAGTGGTATGTGGCATGCTACACAAGAATATGGGAGGTTTTGTTTTTGTTTTTATCTTAATTCCCCCAGCTGACCACAATGTGCAACAAAGTTTTAAAACCACTTTCCATTACAATCTTACCAATTAGTCTTTCAAATATCCTTCAGTATTAGAATGAATAAGTGGATGTTTTCCCTACAAACAAATAAATCTGAAAGCCATACTACCTACTTTATCATTAAGGAAATAATAAGACTCTGCACAGAGATTAAATGGGGGAAAGACTATTCAGGAAGCCATCCGAGAAATGAGGATCTTCTCTTGGCACGAAGCCAGGGAGAGTGAGGTTTGGCCGTGGGAACTATACCTAACTATACCACTGCAAAGGACTGCCCAATGCATGTGACCTTTATCTTCACTTTACTAGGAAGATCCCCCATAGTAGCTCCGGAAATGGGCATAACCAATTAGGAACTGAGCAGCCCACCTTTAACCTTTTTTGGTGAAAAAGAACATTCTATGGAAGGCCTTTGATGTTTCTCGATATAAATAAAGCAGGCATGGGCTCCATTTTGCCATAGTCTACAAGCTCGATCCCTCTGATCAGCTTGCCCATTCTGCCCGGCTTCTGACACTACTTTCTGAGTTCTAGTTTTTTCTAAGTTTTTATTTCTCAGCCAGCCCATTCCACCGAGGGAATCCCATTCCACTGCCTATGCGGGACATGGGCAAGACGACTGAATTATAACTCCTTGTTACCATTTTATTTCCTTAATAAAATGTAGACTCTCTGCCTACTTTCACCTGGACTATGCCTCCATGAATACCACCTTTTATTGAGGATACTTATATTACAGCTGACACTAAGTTTTAATATACTGACTTTGGACTTATGTCAATGTCATTTTAAAAATGAAGTTTCCAGCTTTCTGACTACCTTGATCTTGATAGGGCAGGTCTAGGACAGGCTCTATTCTGCAGTCAACTTAACCTCACACTGAAGTACGATTGTTGGCAAGATCATTATTGGGTCCTTCCACTCTGGCTTTTCAAAACACAAACATCTTCCAGACCTAAGTAAGCCATAGAAATTATTTAGCTATCACAGAACACTAATAAATGTTCTTTCACTGCTAGCTATTCTTTGTCTCATGTAGCATTATCCTACACATACATAATACTTAACAAAAAAAATCTTTCCATCTCATGATCCTTAATATTTGTAAATTTTAAATTAGAGCTTTAGGGTTTTGTTGTTGTTGTTGTTTTTGAGAGACTGAGAGAGAGAGAGAGAGAGAGAGAGAGAGAGATAGAGAGAGAGAGAGAGAATTTTTTAATATTTATTTTTTAGTTTCCGGCAGACATAACATCTTTGTTTGTATGTGGTGCTGAGGATAGAACCCGGCCTGCACGCATGCCAAGCGAGCGTACTACCACTTGAGCCACATCCCCAGCCCCTAGAGCTTTAGTTTTAAAAGGACTACAAAGTCTCTTTTACTGTGTGCTATAATTTGGATGCAAAATGTCCAATAAAGAGTTGGCTGACAGGCAGTGATACTATTGGGAGATGGTGAAACTTTTAGAAGGTGATACCTAATACAAGGAAAAATAGATCACTGGGGGCTTTCCCTTGAAGGTGATACTGGGACCTCAACCCCTTCCTCTCTCTCTCTCTGCTTCCCAGACCCATGATGTGAAGTGGTCTCCTGTACACCCTCCCATGATGCACTGTGCCACCACAGGCTGAATGACAACAGGACCAAGCAACCATGACTAAAACCTCTGAAATTGTAAATCAAAATAAAACTTTTCCTTACTGAGGTGGTTACTTATTATATTTTGTTACAGTGATAGAAAGCTAACTTACCTGCCTTCTAATGCAAATGTTTTACAAATTGCAGAAATACTGGATGTAAAATATCTTTTGGGGGCCCATTATTCAATCTACCACAAACCCTTAGCAGACTAATGAAGTTATTTGACTAGCTCCTTCCTCTTCCTTACTGTCTTGCATTTTCTAGCTGTCTTACTTAATATCCCCAAATTCTGTTCATGTTTCCTAGCTCTTTCTTGTAATCTTTCTACAATTCTTCCTAAGAAGCAAAAATGATTCTCCCTGACCCCATGAGAAGTTGTAGATACAACATATCTCCCAAAAGTTCATGTGTGAGACAACCCAAGAATTTTCAGATGAAACAATTAGATTATAAGGGATGTGACCTAATCAGTGGATTAATCCACAAACATGAATTAATTGGGCATTAATTGTAGACAAGCAAGATATGGTTGGAAGAAGAAGGTCACTGGGGTTGAGCCTTTAGGGTTTACATTTTGTCCCTGGAATGCAGAGCTCTCTCCAAACTCTTCTGCCATGATGTTCTGCCTTACCTAGGGTCCAGAGCTATAGAGTTGGCCAACTATGAAATGAACCAATGAAACCAAAAAAAAAAACTTTTCCTCCTCTAGATTGTTGTTATTGATTTTTGTCATTGCTATGAAGGCTGACTAAATAAGGAGAGGACAACTTGATTCCTGGAATGTTACTGTTTGTTGATGCTTCATATTTCTTGGACTATTTTCAAAAATCTTGTGTTCTAAAATCTACTCTAAGCACCAATAACAGGGAAACACAACCTCATGAGTTTATTATATGTAGAGAGAATATTGATCAGAGGAATATGATATTGTTTCAGAGTAAAAAGAGTTCTGCAGTTAACAATGTGAGATATATTCTTCACTATATTTTCTAATTTTATTTTTTACTGTATGATATTTTACTCATGAAAATAACAGTAATAAAACCTAAATTTATAACAGGAATGGTAGAACATGCCTGTAATCCCAGCGGCTTAGGAGACTAAGGCAAGTAGACCTTGAGTTCAAAGCCAGCCTCAGCAATTTAGCAAGGCCCTAAGCAACTCAGTAAGACCCTGTCTCTAAATAAAATATAAAAAAGGACCGGGGATGTGACTCAATGGTTAAGCACTTAGGTTTAATCTCTGGTGCCACAAAAATGATTCATAGATAGATTGATTGATTCCATCATATTACTCAGCCATAAAAAGGAATGAAATCTCTCATTTGCAGGATCATGGATAAAAATGGAGAAGACTGTGATAAGAGAAATAAAGGGGGCACACACACACACACACACACACAAAGAACACCACATCTTCTCACTCAGATGTGGAAGTTTAAAGAAAAATGATTTCATAGAAGTAGACTAGAACAAGGATTCAAGGGTTAGCAGAGATTGGAAAGGTATGGGAGAGATGCATAGAAAAAAGCTGATTACTGGGTTCCAAAAAAAGTTGATTTTCTTCTTTTTTTCTTCTTTCCCTTTACTTTTTTGCAGTATTGGAGATTGCACTCAGGGCTTCATGCATGCTAGGCAAGGGCTCTACCACTGAGCTCTATCCCCAGTTCAGCTGGATAAGAGGAATAAGTCTGGTGTTTTATAGTAAAGTAGGGTGACTAGAGTCAAAAGTTTATTACATTTCAAATAGCCAAAAGAATGTTCCCAGTACAAAGAAATAATAATTGTCTGAGATGATGGATATGCTAAATGCCCTGACATGATCATTACATATTGTATGCATGAATAGAAATGTCACATTGTACCCAACAAATATGCACAATCATTGGGTGTCAATTAAAAAATAATAAGTTTTAAAAAAAGAAAATAGATTCCACGGTCAACAGCTATGTAATGGTGACAGCAACAATGTAGGTGAGAACTAAATGAAAGAGACTCTAAATAGTAGCTCTACCTTCATACTGGTTAATGATTAATTCTGAATGTTCTACTGGTAACCATGCAAGGAAGCATAGTAGCGATTTTGGATGTTATTCCTTTATCAGACAGCACTTAATAATTTTACATTTAGTCTCTCACCCAAAGGAACAAAGAGACACATACGAAGATAAAATATCAATATTAAATTAATACTACCTCCCATAACCAGATTCTCAGAAGACAGCCAAGACCTACTCAAACTGCCAAAACTTAATCAGAAGATGGGTGTTGCTGCCTTTAATTTTAGGCCTGCAATTTCATAATGCTCTAGTAGCACACATTATACCAAATATTTATCTATCCCTCATGCAGAAATAATTTGGAAACCTTCAGAAATTAGGTATCATGATTAATGTTTACTTCTTAGCAAATGATCATAACTTGCTACATTTTATATACCTCTGTGCCCATCTATAGTCTACTAGTTCACCTTAGAAGTGACAACCCAATAAGAATGCCCTTGCAGAATTTGGCAGTAATTCATTTTATTATGCTATACCTTAACAATCCTATTATATGAATGTCCCCTAGTCTGCTCCTAAAACAAACTCAACCATTACTAAATCTGTTCTAATTATACACAAAAGATTAACATATAAAGAGGGAAACAGCCTGTACAATAGGAATTCCTCATCTAGAATTAACCTGCAAGTTTATAATATGGTTTAAAAATTATAGCAAAGTAGGGCTATGCGCATGTCTCCATGCTAGAGTACTTGCCTAGCATGAGGAAGTCCCTGGGTTCAAGCCCTAGGTCTGCAAAATTAATAAGTAAATTTTACACACACATACAAAGTGTATACTTCATGTAATAATTACTTCTATAAAACTGGTGTTCACAGTTGGTTAGGATGCTGTAGATAAGAGAAATTGCATTATGCTATAGACATTAACCTGGTCTGCTTTATGTGTCATTAAAGTCATATTTCCTAACTTGCATTAAATTAAAAAAAAAATCCACTCTAAACACTCTTAGTATTTGAGTAGAATCTACTTTTCCTTTTTTTCTGTCACATTAAAAAAAAACCCTAGGACATAATCATTCATTTACCTAACCCATTTTCAATTTTTTAGTCCAAAATATAGTTTGGTTTAGAGAACTTACAGGAGATAACTATTTTTTGAATGTATTGAAACCAAAGTTTTACAGAAGTATGTTACTTACCACTTAATGTTTTAGATCTAATTGGAGGTAATCCTTTTTTTTGTCGTTCCTTCTCCCTTTCTCTGGCTCTCCTTTCACTGGAGTATGAACGTGATGACTTCCTCTTCCTCTCTCTTGAGCGGGACCTTGATCGCTTTCGGTGTTTACGCTTGCGAGAACCAGATCTTGACCTGGACCTCCGTTTCCTTGGTGATCTACAAAAACATACAAAAAAAAAAAAAACACATTTCTTTTTATTTTTAAGGACAATGTTGTCCTTCTTTAACACTGCTCAATTCTAAATGAGGGGGAAAATGTATATTCAGCTAACTCTTAAAATATTTAACATTATATCAAACACACATAGTGCTCAATTCTCAGAGAAAGGTAGGTTCACATTAACCACAAATATTTGTCTAGTGCTTCTGAGTCTTGGCGATTATTCACTATCAGGAGGAAGAAGAAGAATGAGATTTGAGAAAGGACTTCACTATAAAATGTAGGCCACTAAATAATTCAGTTTAATGTTGGTCAACTTCTAAAATTCATATAGTGCTTGATTGAAAGGTGATACTGAAATACTTTTTAAAATTTACTGTACAAATTTTCAAGAACATTCACATATAAAAATTAGGGTCTAAAAAATGTAAAAGAGTGGTTAAATTACTGGTTTGGTGGTGCATGCCTGTAATTTCAGAGATTCAGGGGAAGCTGATGCAGAAGAATTAAAAGTTCAAGGACAGCCTACATAACTCAGGAAGGTACTGTTTCAAAAAAATAAAAAGGGTTAGGGATGTAACTCAATGGTAGAATGCCCTGGGTTCAATCCCCGTCCTGGGGAAAAAAAAAAAAAACTAAAAAAGTTAAAGCCTAGTGAGACCATAAATACAAACATTTCTTATAATGGCTTTACAAAATAATTTTTGGGGGCCGGAGTTGTGGCTCAGTGGTAGAGCACTCGCCTAGCTTCTGCAAGGAGGCCCTGAGTTTGATCCTCAGCACCATATATAAATAAAGGTATTGTGTGCAACTACAACTAAAAAATGAATAAACATTTAAAGTAATAATAATAATAATTTTTGAAGTTTTATTTTTCTGGTCATTTTTAATATCATAAAGTAAACTGAAATGTAAGAAACATGGCTTGATTTAATGGCTGTTGAGAGGCAATAATATCCTAAACTAGATGCCTTCCTAGTAGTATTATTAATTCAAATCAAGTATAACCCAAATACAGTCTCTTGATACAGCTATTATTATACAAATCACTCAAATCAATAGCACAAACATTCTCAATATAAAAATGGAACAAAGGTTTCTTCTTCTTCCTTTTTTTTTTTTCAATAGGGGGTGAGGATTCTTGGGAATTGAACCTAGAGGCATTTTACTACTGAGCTACCTCCCTCAGTCCTGTCTAATTTGATAAGGTTTCTCTAAGTTGGTAAAAAGTTGCTGAGGGTGGCCTTAAACTTGTGATTCTCCTGTCTCAGACTCCTGAGTCACTGGGATTACAGGTGTGTACTAACATATACTCCCAGCCCGTTCTTGATTTTAAAACACATTTTATGATAACATTTCAAAAATCAGCCAAAAAAAAAAAATCTTTTAATCTTGATGGAAAGAAAAAAAGCCAACATTTTAAAAAGTTCACACATAGTTACTGTTAAATAATATTATAGGACCTTGAACGAGATCTCGAATGAGTTCTTGATCTGGAACGAACAGCCACTTTCTTAGCTTCTTGTTCAAAGATTTCCTCTTCCACTCCATCTTGTCCTTCATCTATATCCATATCCTAGAAAGAAGAAGACAAATAAAAATCCCAGCTTAGATTTAGTTACATAATAACATTTGTGCCTTAAAAAAAATATTCATGATAATGACATTACTGCTTACTAGGCAAAACAGATGGACTGTGGCGCTTCAGAAAACTACATGAGGACCTTACCACTATACAACATTTTGTTTTCTTTAAATAAGTTTATAAACTACGACTAGATAAAGCATTTATTTTTACCTGTTGCTGTATATCTATAGAATCATCCAAATTTGTTTCAGGTTCAAGAAAATGTTGCTGACTACTCCCTTGTGATGGTGACGCTGAATGCTCTGATCCAAATGTCCCTTCTTGACTATCTTGAGGAGTTGCCTGTTGAGAGCACACAAATGTTGGGAGATAATTTAATTACAAATGCAAATTTGTACACAGCAGATATCACAATAAAATGTTTAAAAGTAGTCCAACACATAAAGAAATTTCATGTTAAATAATTTTTAAAGTTATCAATCTAAAATTGCACTTGTACATAAATACAAATTTACTTGAAATCAGGGAACATTAGAGAGGGTACTTCAGATATTTGAGTAAAATGTTCTTTGATTTTTAGTTATTTTGGTAATGTCCAAATGGCTATTAAAGCAGAAGTTCAGAAGTTCTCCTATAAATCACTAGGTGGTTGCAATTCTCACTAATAAAAGGCAAGAAACAGATTAGATATATCATTTAATTTTGTTTGAGTTGCATCACGTTACAATAATTTCCTGAGGTTCTTTTAAAAAAAAATAAATACATAAAGAATTCCAAACACATTCAAAGTAGAATAAATGTCAAAATGATCCTCAAAAAAGTAGTTTCCTAGGCCTTAGGGTGCACTGAATTTAAATCACCTTTGTACATATGCTTTTTCTAAACTAAGAGAACTCTTGAGAATTATTTATTTCAACCTCAATATGTCTTTTTAATGAAAGAGAACTTATCCTGGCAGTAATACGAAATCTATTTTTCTTTCATATTTTTCCTCTATGGGAATAAAGAACACAATAACACATAGTCGGTATTTTGGCCATAGTCAGCATTCTTCTTTAACAATATCATTAAGTATATACTAAAACTGATTATTTTATGTGTCCTTAAAAATTTTTCAAAGCAAGATCAGGACTTATGTGTGAATCGCACCAAACCAATTAGAATAGGAATTTATTTTCAAGGGCATTTTTAAAATATTATTCTTATAAGTACTAACAATCAAACTGAAAGAATAGAGCAAAAAGAGTAAAAACAAAAATCAAAGAACAGTTTCAAGTCCCTTAATTTATGACAGAACAGGCAACATTTTCAAGGTTAAGAAATAAAGCTTAAGTTTGAATAAAACAGATAGCAGTCTTCTATACCATGATATTGACCAAAGTTAGCAAGTTAGCAAGTGTTATCTTCCAGATGTGTTTTAAGCATACCCCTGGCTTAAGCCTTTAAAATGGTACAATAACAGCAGAATTTGTTAGTAACACAGCAGATATTTTCCAACTTCATCCTTTCACATTTAGTCGTAATTCAATACTCGTCTATTGTCATGTTATATTTTACTTCAGCACTCATCTTAAGCTCTACATCTATCTGTTCCCATTTGTAGTTCACCCTTAATTATTTATTTAACAGGTTAACCCTTGGTGTAATATCAAGATCCACTGCAACCAATTTTAGTTTTTGAGTTTCTTTTTTCAGCAGTTTTACCTATTTGAAAAGATTGTTATTCTTAAAATTTTTTCCTTTTTTAAAGAACTTACAAAGAAAAAAAACTTTATTATTTTTTTTAAAAACCAATGAAAATTTATTATGTTATTTTGCAATTATGCTTATTAAATAAATAAACAAAAGATATGTCATGGGTTTTTAGAGGTCTTATTTTCCTTTATTTTTAAACATTTGCTATTTTATTATTCCCAAGAATTACTTCATTATTACAAAAGATTATTCATCAGTTATTCAAAAAATAAAATAAAACCAACAGAGTTGTTGAAAAGGGTGATTTAATAGTGAAATAAATATCATTATTCAGTTTTAATACATGAACAAAAATACTGTACTATACTTCAAGAAAAGGATTAGACACCATCTCTATAGTCTGCTTTTATCTTTCCCTGAACAGTTGAAAATTCAATTTATAAATTTTGGCCCTTAATAGCAAAGGGAACAAAACAGGGAAATATACTTCACATTCATTAGACAAATATGAATGCAAACAAGATTCCAAAACTGAGGGTGAAATTTAACAGAAAACCATAATAAGCAGCAGGTCGTGAATTTTCCATTGACCTTATCACCAAGAACTGGTACAAGAAAAATCTCTCTCTCTAAGGGCAAAAGGGAAATATGAAAAAAAAGGAAAAATTCTCAACCATTTCAACAGAAAGAATTTTTATCTTGCAGTATTTTCCAACAAGAACCTGCAATGTTCCATTTTATTTAAAGGATATAAAATATTTGAATTTGACACCAAAAAAAGCTTTGCAACATCGAAATTATATTAAAATTCCTACTACAGCTCCCTTTCTCTCTGTAGTCTCACTTCCATAATTATTTATAATATGACTTAAAAAGATAAGAAAAAGAGACCTTCACTGGCCCAAAGTGGCAAATGACTTTTCTGGTTTACATCCTATTTATACATGTCTACTTTCTTCTGAATATCTTCATACAAAAGAGCAATGAAAATACTGGGGTGGAGTGGTATAGGTGGGGAGAATAAGGTTAACAGCAGCTAGCAGACACTTCTTTCAAGGTTGGCCCTAACACTGTAATATGTCACATTTTAATCAGTTATAAAATTCTTCTCTCTCTCTCTCTTTTTTAATGTAGAAGTAATAATAAAGACTCAAAGACTTTACTGAAATACACATATGCTATACCTATGGCATCAACCTGGATTTATGAATCAAATAACACTATAATTTCAGTATTTGAAAATGAAATTTATCTGAGATTGTAGACAGCAATTCATATATAACAACTCAGGACTCTTTACATTACTCATGACATTTCATCGTTTTCAATTCTACTCTTTCTATTGTACTATATAAAAATTTTTCTGAAAAAAGTTACATATTTCTGATATCTTAATAAGAGTGCTTCATCAGTAGGCTAGGTCTTAATCTTTTTTTTAAATTATTATTTATTTTAGTTGTAGACGGACATAATACCTTTGTTTATTTTTATGTGGTGCCAGGCCTCACACATGCTAGGCATACACTCTACCACTGAGCCACAAACCCCAGCCCCTTCCTTAATCTTATTATTAACTTATTATTGATTATTAATTAACTTATTATTAATCATTAATCTTATTATTAACTTCCTTAATCTTACTATTAACTTCTTTGAAAATATTCTCATTGGATTTCATTTTGAGTTATAGCTCTTGTGACCTTTTAACTATCCTAATAAACAATTAGAAAAATCATAAACTAACTTATTTAACATAAATCACTCCTCTTCTGACATAATACCTAATCCCTTCACAATTCTCACCATTTTTCTCCAAAAAAGTGTCCAGTTTTTCAATTTTGAAAAACATTTTAACTTTACTGGAAAATAACAATCAACATACACCACAGGTGTGATTAAGAACTGCAATGAGCAGGACAGCACTATCAATCCTATTACACCTTTAACTAAGACCCTATAACTTACACAGTCATGTTGAGCTTACTGGTAAATGAAAATGCTTACCTTTTTTTGCTTATCTTACTTCAAATTAAGTACACTAAGGAAAAAAAATTTGGTAGATGCAATCACAACCTATTAAATTGAACTGATATGCAGTTAACTTGCTTTCCTACTCTAAACCTGTCTGTTTCACAATCACTGTCCATGAGAAAAGTTTCTTTTTTTTCCTTCACCTCCCCTTTTCTTCATTGGATTCATTTCAAACGATGAAGCTTTTAAGAACTTCCATTCTATACAAAGGAAGGTGTTTAAGTGGTGAAACTCTGGAATTAATATACAGAATTAGTAACTAAGTCTAGAATTCTCTTTTTGGTAGGTGAGATTCTTAGGACAGACTGGCGCTCTTTCAAATTTTTAGTTTATTTTCACTTTAGTTTATTTCTAAAGTATTACCCTTGACTTTACTGCTTCTGCTAAACCTTCTGAAATGAAACTAAGGCAATTCAAAAAGTGTCATATTTACAGCTGAACAGACGTGCTGCTAGATAAACTCTTCTGTCACTACCACATGCTACCTCTGCATCAATTCTGTGATTTTGTATCACATCACTGACAACCAATTTCTTTTGAGTTTCATTCTGTTTTTCTTTAAATATACTGCCCTTATTCTGACCACTTCTATCAGAATTAGTTCCTCAAAACAAGATATAAAATTCCATTCTTATAATTCTATGCATGAGTTCCATGAATATCCATTTTATATTTATTACCTGCATTAAAAGGACAAGCGCAGGCACCATCTATATCTAAAGTTTGCTATACCTGCCACCTAAAATACCCATTCCTGTCTGAATAAACAACCAGTGTAACTGCACATCATGCACAACAACAAAAATGGGAAGTTATACTCCATATATGTATAATATATCAAAATGCATTCTACTGTCATGTATATCTAAAAAGAGCAAAAAAAATTTTTTAATGAATGAATGGATTAGTTTAGCAAAGTTTGTTTAAAAATTGCAATGACAGTGTTGCAAATTTTCTTCAAAAAGAATGAAGGAGTGACTGAGGTCCTCATACTTTTGCTATGAAACATATATGATTTAGACATTTTAACAATGGAACCAATTCTGTATTTTTGGATAAGTCAACAGATAATTTCACTTGAACTAACTTTAAATTTTTAGAATACATCTTGTATATACTCATTGTAGAATTCTTCTTAAAAATGCATATTAAAAACAAAAGGCATTTGTAACCTCAAAAATTTTTTTTAAAAAAAGTACCCATTTTCTATTCCATAGTGCCAAGACCCTTTACTTTAACCTCTATTTAAAAAACTACAGAATTCTGCGATGTGCTTACACAAATGTATATGCTCCACCAGAGAAGAGGTTACTTGAAGCCAGAACTCAGAAAACCATTTTCCTGTCCAACTTTGTATACATGGCTTTCCTAAAAATGTACTAAGAATGTACTGCTCTTACTTTAAAAATTTTTGTAGTATTGTGCTAAATTCATTAATCCCTAGTTTTTTATTATAAGGGAAACAGGGGACCTTCCTAACACTCCTAAACAGTTGGTACCTATAAATATTTCTCATATATAGCAGAGATATGCTTTGTAAATGAGTTTAATCTTAGCTCTGCAACTTGACATATTTTATCAATTCTAACGTGTAATATTTTTTCATGTTTTATTATCCCTCAAATTAGTAAGATTCTTACACCTCAAAAGGATGTTAGGCTGTAGTTAGAAGTATTTTGAAAATCTCAGTTACATATAAATAATGTTGTGTCTTAAGACTGATCATATATAATATTGGCTTTGTACTTTTGCATTAGATATTTAATTTCACCAAACTTCAACTTCTTCTGCAGTAAAATAAGAGTCACAGTGTCTACCTAATGAGGATTAAATGTAATTATGCCTATATTTTTCCTACTACATTGCTGATAATGCTCCTAAAACAGGGTACCAGCAATAAAAATTTTAGGATTAAAGAAGGCAATCCATTTTGTCGTCATTATCAGCACCGGTAACACAATCATCATTGGCTTGTTAAACGGAACAGAATTTACATCAAGTTTTAAGTGGCAATTCTGAAACTGCACCTCTTTGTGGTACACTGGTATTAATTTCTACAATATAGATTCATTAAGTTGCCAGAATACATTCTGATTACAGAAAGAAAACAAACAAACTATGTCTTGAAAAGACTGATCTTCCTAGTGATAAACATTCAAAGAAAAATTACCATATCTATGAAAGGAAATAAAGTGGTAAAAATAAGAGATGAGAAAACACTCTATTAATACCCAAATCAAACAAAAACCAATCATCCTATAAATAATGCTAATCTACATAATACGAACAGCAATAACTCCTAAGACCACAAGATGGGGTTATGAACCTTTTGAGGCTGTTGCTGTTCCAGGAGCTGCTGTCTGAGATGTTCAAGGTTTTGTTGTTGTAGTTGTTCTGCTATCTGATGAAAAATGGAATTGTTCACAGATTCTGAAACATGAGAACTAAAAGGAAAGTAGAAATATATTTTAAAATCCACTAAAGATAATATAATTACTATTTTTTCAAAGGAAACAAAAGCCAACTCAAGAAATCATATTCTATTATAATGTTTGCTTCTAAAATATTAACACAAAAAAGAGAATACCCCAGAATATTAATATGAAGATAAATAAATTCAATAGTATTTTAATGGGTCTGTAACATTTCAGAGATGCTCGGTTGAAGATTTCAGGCTATTAAATACATATACATTAGTGATTTTAAAATAAATCTCAATAAAACACTTTAATAAACAATTTAATTTATTTAAACAATGTCATTTCAACTTCTTCTCTAACTATGAGATAGTGTGGAACATGCTACATCAATCAGTATGTGTAAAACTTAGAATTATAATTGACCATATAAAATTTATATACTTAGAAATGCATACCTGTTATTTATTAGGTATGTTGACACAAATGGTATTTAGACAAGAGAAAACAATTTCAACTATGCTCTGGGAAATGCACACTTGGAAGAACCTGGAATTCTGGGTTCCATAAGGTAAGAAATGAACTAAAAATTCCCCCCAAGGGCTAGCAGGATTTTGAGAACTTTTGAAACCATTGTGGGGGTTGAGGGGTGGGCCACCTTCACCTGGAGCAAATAAACCTAACAAGAAGAACAACAGCTACCTTCAAATACTGAAAGACTAAATCTCAAAATACAATGGAGCAAATTCGTCTCCACGCTTTAAAAAGCAAATCCTGAATCAGTGTGGAAAATAAACGGAATTTAGTTCAAGAAAAGAACATGTAATAACATGTTAAATTAAATGTTAATTTAATTAAATTCTCATTTCTGAAAGGCATAAACACTGGATATTTAAACTATCAGGACTGTTAAGGATATTCTTATATTTCTCTTAGGACACTGATTTACATGATGGGGATTGAAACCAAGGGTGCTCTACCACTAAGCTACATCCTTAGCTCTTTTTAGTTTTTATTTTGAGGCAGAGTTTCCTAAGTTGCCCAGGATGGCCTTAAACTTTAACTTCTCCTGCCTAAGCCTCCTAAGCAGCTAGGATTATAGGCATGTGCCATCACATCAAGCAATCTACATAATTTCAAATGTTCCTTCAATTTTTATAATTTATAATCAAAACTGTTAATTTTCTCAACGACCCATAACATCAATTCTTATTTCTGATTAGTCTGATGCACTTCCTAGAAGCAGATTTGGCAGTAGAAGAAAGCGTCTGTCCTTGTATTGAAAATATTCTTAAATTTAAGTTAAATTAAACAAATAGATGTAAAAACATCACAATTAGCTTTACTCTTTTATTTATCTTTATTTATTTATTTTTATGTGGTGCTAAGGATCGAATCCAGTGCCTTACACATGCTAGGCAAGCACTCTACCACTGATCCACAACCCCAGCCCATAGTTTTACTCTTATTTATCATTTTTCCTATTAAAAAAATTTTGACATAGTACAACTATTTGCAAAACTTGAAAAAGAGTACAAATAATCCAGGGAGACAACAAAACAGCAATTCTGCCACCTTTCTGTATGTAAGAATTTAATAGCCTGACATAACAATCCTAATTGAGTCAAAGTATACTTAGTAGACGGTAACATCCTACCCAATATTTACAAAAGTCACAGAAAAAGAAAAATATAATTCTTACAGTTGAGGTGTTGGAATTTCCTTTTTGGGTTCTTCACTATGCTCAGAATCGTCCCCAAAATCAAACCTATCCATCAACTTCTGGTGGGAGGGGAGCATGACAGGGAAAAAGAGACAAATTAAAGTGTTTTACATAAATATTTAAATGTTACTTATATCCCATTAGTTTATCTCTTCATTTAATATGTTTTATGTCATTGTATACTATACTCTTTCTAGAGTGTGAGCACCATGACATACATAGTAAGTAGTCCTCTTTATTCTGCCAGTTTCAGTTATCCAGTCAACAGCAGCCTATTGTCTTGGTTTGTTCATGAGAGCATAGTCACATAATTTTCATTATGTTAATGATGTGCCTAATGTATACAATGTTATTAATGTTAATTAAGCAGACGTTAATTACTATGCCTAATTTATAAATTAAATTTCATTGCAAGTATGCACATACAGGAAGAATGTCCTGTGCATGTATGTGCGTGCGTGTGTGTGAGTGTGTGTGTGTACAATTTGGTACTATCCACAGTTTTAGGTACCCAGCAGAGGTCCTGGAATGTATTCCAGAGGACTAGGGAGATCTACTGTATTGTCTTAAATAACAAAACAAATTATAAAATAGACAATATAATCACTGACACTAATCTTACATAAGACTAAGGATTAAAATAATGAAGTGGTCTGCCATGTCATTACAGCTTGGTAACACCTAGAAGCATAAACAATGAATCTATCCCTTGATAGAACATGAAGATCCTCATCTTCATATGTTCTGTCACCTTCTGAATATTCAACTTAAAGGCTTTTTATGTGGGCAAGCTATTTAGATTAAGTAAGACTTGGAAGCTGCTGCCTCAATGGAAAATACACTGCCCATTTATCTTTAGTTTAAAAAAAGTATTTTAAACATCTGAAGAGGAATTTTTAAAGTCTAAATCTTTTTTAAATTTAATATATTTTCTACAGTACAGTGTATATCGACAGAATATGATAAAACACAATTTATAGAATCCACATGACACTTCACACAATTTAACACTGCCTATTGAATGCATCCAATATTTTAATGACTACCTTGTTGAAAGGGACTCCCTGATCCAAGGGAGTGAGCGTGTTGGCTGCTGCAGCTGCAGCTGTAAGCTGTGCTGTGAGAGCCTGCAATTGAACCACAAGACCAGCATCCAGGGCCTGGAGGATGGAAGGCTGCGGTTTCTGTTGCTGTATCTGTAAGGTTTGTATTAACTGTTGAAGCTAGAGGAAAAATAATTATTATAAAACAGTTGTTGGAATTTACTCATAAGAGTGCCCACGTAAAACTTTTAGTTAATAAATTTAATCATTCTACAATCTTAGGCAATCAAAAAAAGTCTTTCCTAGTATGCATATACAACACAGTCCTTAGTAAGTCTGTCTTCTAGGAAGTCAGGAAATTTTAAATAAAATAAAGCACTTATACCATAACAACCAGAAAAGGGACTCCTGACAAGATAAATAATACTTTTCACTATGCTTCTCACCCCTTCTTCAATTAACTCCATGAAGGGATAAGCACTGACAACAGCAGAGCTTTTGTTATCATTCAGACATATCATCTAAGAACATATCCTAAAAGGAGAGTAATTAAGAAATTTATTCTTACAGCCAACTTTGAGACTAAAAAACAAGTTATTAACAATGAAGAGTGTCAAGTACAGTAAAAAGAAACCCACTTCCCACTATTTACTCACCTTTGCTAAAAAACCTGTAAGATCCATAAATAAGAAATCCCGACATTCATCACAGAAATAATACATAATTGAGTTCTAAATCTGTAATAGGCACATTGGTGCAGTTGGAGAGGAAGAGTAACTTCTACCACATGGTAGAACTATGATTAACAATTAATTATTTTAAATAGCCATTAGAGATTTTTAACATTCCCAACAAAAAGAAATTTAAAAAAGGACTGAGATAATAGATATGTCAATTACCCTGAACTGATCATTACACATTATATACATACATATATACACATACATAACCTGTAAGTATGCAAAATTACTACGTGTCAATTAAAAATGAAAATCATTTTGAAAAAGCCCTAAACCTGAAGTATATATGAAAATTATCAATTTATATTTGAAAAAGAGAACAGCAAACTGATTGTAAAGACATCTGTATTCCCTTAAGTTCAACTTTTAGTATGAGAAAGTACAAATAACATGCAAGATGACAGTAAATAAAATCATTCATGTCTATTCTAAAATAGCAACATTAGGGTACAAACTAGAACCATTTAACCACCAAGCATCTTCTTTAAAATTACTATTGGGACAAAAAAGAAAATGCAACACTACATGAGAGTTAACTAACTGCACCCCAGAAGCTACAGAATGACTAAGACCAATAAATACATACAAGATATAAATTCTCCACATTACTGTGGTGAAGAAAGTAAGGAAAAGGACAACGAGAATAGAAAGGAAAATTTAAAAATACCATATTTATCCTTTATACATTTTAACTATTCCTTTTGACATCGCCATTTTTCCCAGCCACGCTGTTATTCTTTTAGTCACCCAAATTCAAAATTACCTCAGCATTTTTTTCCTCTATTGCCATCACTGTTGTGTCAATATCTTCATTACCTGTGTGTAATTAACCCTCCTTGTATTATTTTCTTTGGAAAGCAATAAAAATAACTCTATATTTCTGGAAAATTTATATAAAAAAATATTTACTTGGTAGCATCTTTTAAAATGAGAACATGTTTTATAAACTATTGTACAGGGATTACCACAAAATAATTTTATCATTTCAGCTAATACTGGTCCATAATCAGTTTCCCAAATGTCTCAAAAATGTAGAAACTCTTGTGTGCATGTATCAATATGTAATAATGAATCCCACCATTATGTATAATTATAATGCACCAATAAAAAATATTTTTTAAAATATGCAGAAACTGGGCAGGGGTTGTAGATCAGTGGTGGAGCAGTTGCCTAGCACATGTGAGGCACTGGGTTCAATTCCTCCAGACCACATTAAAAAAGGCACTGTGTCTGTCTACAATTTAAAAAATGCAGAAACTGTATCCAGTCTAAGACTACTCATTGAGTTGATTTTTATACTTTTAAAAAGACTGGACAGGCCTCACATTTTTGAGCTTATCTTTTCAGAGAATTCACAATCTTAATATTTTCCCCATAGTCATTACCTCTCTTTCAATATCACTACTACTAAAAGGAAGATATTCCCTATCTCTAGACTTCTCTCCATCTTATTTAAGATACTAATCAGATCGTTTGGCTTCAGTATACAGATCTATCCATTGCCCATTGCTCAGTAAATGAATTGTCATTTCTCAATTTGCTTTCTATGGTTTTCAAAAACAACTCTGTTATACCTCTGTCATTAATTCCACAAAAATATACTGAATACCTACTATCATCTAGACATAGTGGAAAAAAAACAATAGACAAAAATCCTAGGCCTATACAACATACATAGTACAGTAGGAAGAGATGAAGTAACATCATCATCCAAAAAAATAAATGAGTTATATAATATCATATAAGGTAGTAAATGCTAAGGAAGGAAATAAAGGTGAGAGTCAAAGTAAAAAAGATGAAAAGTCCAGTTTATGATATTAAACACCAGTCACTGAAGGTCTTATTACGATGACATTTAAACAACTTGCGGGAGAATGAAACCATATGAATATACGAGGAAAGACAGTTTTCAGTATAGGAATCACCAAGTACAAATATCTTGAGGCAGGATTATAAGTAGTATAGGTAAGGAATGGCAGAAAGGCAGGTGTGGCTAGAGTGGAACAAATCAGAGGGAAAAAGAAGTAATGAAAGAAACAAATGATAACACTAAGGAGGGGTCAATATAAACAAAACACTTATCTCTAATTTAGAGAAAATGATGGACTGGTGATGAAAATAGAAGGAAACAAGAAATCAAGTTGAGAACATAAAAAGGTTAGTGAAGTGACTGTTACAGCTTTTACTGAGTCAAACAGGGAGCTACTGAGCTCCCGAGAAAGACTGTAGTGGAGCAAGGGTGAAAGCCCCATAAGAGGCAGCTGCAACAAAACAGATAATAATGTAGCTCAAGACTAGTAATGAGGTAGTGAGAGTCAATGGATTCAGAATATAAGTAGACGATTTCTTTCTTTCTAGGGCCTCACACATGCTAGGCAAGCTCTCTAACACTGAATTATATGCCCAGTTATATAAGACTTAAGACATCAGATATGATGAATGAAAGAAATGAATCAAGAATAAGTCACTTTGAATCTGATGGGCTCCATGTTTTTGAGCTCAAGAAAAAGAAGCATTTCTGAATTGATCTCTCAATGCAAAAAATAAAGCAAGAAACTGGAAGGATACTTATCTCCAACTAATATGAGAAATATGCAGGTGGAGAAGGTTTTGTTTGAAAGACTGAGAATCCATCTTTTACTCAGTAGTCTCTCTGTTTACATAACTCAACCTCCGCATCTGTTTCTTACCTACACTTTAAAAACAAACTGTCATTTGTACAAAAGAACTTTCCCTGAAACAATTATTTAAGCCAAGGCGTTATCTCTAATTTTGAATTTCCAAAGTTTTTTATTTTTCTCAGGATTGTTATTCATTTTCCATTTTAATTATATTCATGCATTCCAATTATCTATTAGACTTTAGGCTTCAAGAGGCCAAAGAATATGTCTTGTTTATCTTGAATACCCTACTGCAAAGCCCAGTAACTCAAACACTGTGAGTGCTATCACTGCATCTAGATAGTGCAGTAAGAAAAATATACAGGACATAGGAACTTCAAGCAAAGATACAGAATTACCATTAGTTGCAAATAATATGATTTAACTGGAAAATGAAATAAATTGAAAATAGAAATTAGACTGACACTAGAAACAAAAATCCAATCTACTCAAATATATTTACAGAAACCTACAAACTATGAAGAAACTACATTTAATAAGTTACAAAACCTAAGATATGAACAATAAAGTATAAATAACTAAATATTGTAAAGATATCTCTCCCACACACACACCTCAAATCAATGGATAAACATAGCATGATTCTCCTCTACTCCTAACAGTAGAGCCACAATACAACACACTATTTCCCATCTTCAAGATGTTGACACATGCAATTCTCTCTGCTTCCTATCATCCCATCCTGCTAGGACTATTCTCAAAAGTCTCAATTCAAATACCAGTTCCTCAAAGCACATCTTCTGTGGCATCCTTTCTCTAGTTTTCACCCCTAGCCCAACTTGGTAACTATATCCACTTAACCTTTTCTAAGACAATTATGACTACCTAAAGTAATTTTGTCATTTTTTTTATTGTCTGTCTCCCCTAAGACACCTATCCCTAAGATAAAAGAGCACCCCATCCATTTTGCAACTGGGGTTGCAATAGCACCTAATAATGTTTGGCATAAACTAGTGCTAAAAATTAGGATTCTGCCAAACAATTTTTTAATAAAATATTTATTTATTTAGAGTGGGGTACTGGGTATTGAACTCAAGGTTGCTTTACCACTAAGTTACATCCCCAGACCCTTTTATCTTTTTAATTTGAGACAAAGTCTCAATAAGTTGACAAGCCTGGCCTCAAACGTGCAATCCCTCCTGCCTCGGCCTCCCAGGTCACTGAAATTAAAGGCATGTTTCACCATTCCTGGCATAAAAATTTTTAATGACATGAGAGTAACTGTGATGAATTACTAAATGAAAAGTGGAAGCTATATATAGAGTAACTTATATAGTGATTCTATTTTCAGAAAACTAAAAAAATACTTATCTCTAGGTGGTATATTATAAAACAGTACATTAGGAAAATAATGAATTATACATCGTTCTCAACATAAGAAAAAACCTGCTCACCTGTTGGCCTTGAGGACTTTGTAAGATCTGAGCAACCGCAGCAAGTGTATCTGTATTTGTTATCTGAGATACCCATGGATCAGGAAGGCCTTGGACCACATTAGCTGGAGTAACAGGTGTCACAGGTGTTCCTTTTTAAAAAGACATCACACAGCCCACCAAATACAGAAGTAAATAAATACGACTTGAAAAAGTTGAGGAATTTGTTCTATTACTTTTATAAAACATAGACAAATGTATATCAATATTTTTATTTTATTGTCAGCATTTAGAAAAACCATTTTAAAATCCTTCATGTAAAAAAAACAACCAAAGGGATTGTTTATACTTCTCCTCAGTGAACTAAGATAGTACTTTAATAAAGTGTACGTAGCATCATTAAAAACTGAGCTAAGAGTTTAACGAAGCTTACTTAGGAGCCATTAAAAACATTAATTATGAAGGGGCTGAGGTTGTGGCTCAATGGTAAAGCACTCGTTTAGCACGTGCGAGCCCTGGGTTCAATCCTCAGCACCACATTAAAAAAAAAATTTAAATAAAGTATTGTGTTCAACTACTTCAAAATAAATAAATAAATAAAAACATTAGAAGACATTCAACAACATAAGAAATAAGAAAAATACAATTTTGATGAAAACAGAACTTATAAAACTATTTTTTTTCAATAAATGCACAAAAACTAAATGTGAATGAAAATGTTACCAAATTCAATTCTTGGAATTGTGATAAAAAATTTTTAAATGTCATTTAAATACCCTAAGAAAACATGATTTTGAGATTATTATTAAAGCATTCTTGGCATTATCAAACAATTTAAGGTTCTTTGTAAAGATTAAGTTAACCTCATTTCCTGTAAATATAAAGTTGATTTATATGCCAAGTGTTAAGAGGTTACAGACAAACCAAATAATCTGGAAAAACCTAAATGACACACTCATTTTCCAAAGTTCATTATATTTATGTTTCTTGGGATTAAAAAAAAAAAAAAAAAGCTTTCAGAATGAGAGAATTATACAGAAACAACCAAGGCTGGCACACGCCTGTAATCCCAGGGACTCAGAAGGCTGAAGCAGGAGGATCACAAATTTGAGGCCAGCCTCAGCAACTTAAAAGGACTGGACGAAATGGTACACACCTGTAACCCAGTAATTCAAGTGGCTGAGGCAGAAAAATCACAAATTCAAAGCTATCCTCAACAATTTAGTGAGGCCCTGAACAACTTAGCAAGACCTAGTCTCAAAATAAAAAATGAAAAAAGCTAGGGAGACAGGGGATGTGGCTCAATGATAGAGCACTCCTAGGTTCAATCCTACTTTAAAACACACACACACACACACACACACACACAAATACATGGTTTTATTTTTCCTTTGAATTATATCTTCTTTCAATTATCTAATATAGCATCACAATTTTCCAATGGTGTAGAATTGTTATTGTACATATGAATAACCATGTGAAAATATAAGAATATTTAGAAATCAAATCTATATTGTAGCAATATACCTGGGGTGTTGCTCATAGCAGCAGTAGTACTGGCCAAAACAGGTGTGACAACTGGAGGAGGAATCCCTGCTGCCATATCCAAAAGCGGTTGAATAATCTCACTCTTAAATACATTATTCTTCTGCCATAAGTTTAAAACTCTCACTATTTTACTCTAGAGAAAAAAAGAAATACGACATTTTTATTTTTTGCTTTCAAAACTTTAGTATAATCATTTCATAAGGGCTTTTAGGGTGCTGGATGGGAAGAAGAGAAGAAAACACGTCTGGGGTACTTTCTACCACTGAAAATTTGTTTCTACCATTTTGCATTTGCTAATCTTATCTCAGTTGAAAGGGGAAAACATTAGTTTTAATAGACATACAATATAAATGAAAGCTACACTTAGCTGAAGGCAGACACGACAACTAGTCTCTGTCTACCAATTCTAATGAGCTTAATTTAATACTATGGTTGCCTATAGAACTGTATTAATCCAAACAGAGTTAGGATTCATCTCAGTACTAAATTTAAAGTTAATTTTAACTTTGTCTCATAAAATGTTTATCTTTTGAACAAATAAGTAACTTCAGGACAAACTCCTTTACTAATGTGACTCTTACAAATTTTCATTTTAAAAACTATTTAAATATAGGAGAGGGCATTTCTTCGTATAAGAATTTAACAAAGGGCTGGGGATGTAAGCTCACTAATGGAGACATGCATAGCATGCATGAAGCCCTGAGTTCGATCCTGCCATCAGAAGAAAAAAAAAACCAAAAACATATTTTTAACAAAATTAATCCTTTCTTTCAGCACCACATAAAAATAAAATAAAGATACTGTGTCCACTTAAAACTAAAAAATATAAAAAAGAGAATGTCTCAAGATATTCTACAAGATATTTCTAAGCACCTTGTCATAAATTCTACTTCCCTGTTGATGCTTTAAACCAGAGACATACACACTTCTGTCTGAACAGAATGTGAAATATAACCTCTCTTCACTCTCCACCTTCCCCCTTCATTATTCTTCCCTACTCTCCCCTTGTTGCACAATGCCAATCCCATAACAGCATTACTTAATGTAGCTCACAGAATGTTAAATACCATTATAAATGAATAATACTCTACATTTATTTATTTCACTTACCATAATCGGAAAAGTCTTTACCATTCTATTAAAAAAAAAAAAAAGCCTGCTTGCTACTAACAAGCAGATTTACATATCTGAACCATCTGAGTAATTTTCTTTTTCTCTTTCTCGTAGGCCCTTTAATAGCAGCATTGAATCCAATTTACTCTTACTCCCCCTAAAGATCCTCAGCATTGCCCAACTCAACCCACTTCAAATACATACATACACAGATATCTCAAATTTTTGTTTTAATCTCACCCTTTTCTAGATCCCTTATGTATGAGTACTTCATATTTTTGGTAAGGCTCCATCAATCATATAACATTCATGTAGATGTTATAAAATTCATGAAATACATGCTATCTACATAACCTTTCTCATTAACCTTGGTCTTAAGCCAAAAGTGTCAATTAAAAAAAATATATGTTAAACCCTCAGTTCCCTTATCTATAAAAATGAGACTGTATACCATAAGTATTCTTGGGTTTCTTTTCTCAATTTCAAATTGTATCAAACTGTTTAGGTTGACCAGTATTTTGAAGGTCTTGAAAGTCTCAACCACTCCCAATGTGAACATCTTGGCAGAGAGCTATATCTTACTTACTACTTACAGTTCTTCTTATAGCAACACTATAAAATGGCACTTCACTTTAATTATGCATACCCTAATCTTGCTCCAAAAGAGATTATGTGAAATTTCATTCAGTTGTAAAATTCTGTTTAATTGTATTGTTGCCTATCTCCTGTTATATTCTGAGTATTATAAACACAGAACCTATAAAGATAGGTATTACCAACTTCTATTTCTTGGATAATTCTGAAGTCTAAAAGCATAATTAACAGTATTTAGAGAAAACTTGATAATCAGAAAAATTTCTATATATCTCCATTGATTATGTGATAATTTGCCCAAAAGCTTCAGATTTACACAAGCACAACAATATGCCCAATTAAGAAGAATGTCTCTCAGCCTGGATTTGTGGCTCAGTGGTAGAGTGTTCGCCTAGCACCCCTGAGGCACTGGGTTCGATCCTCAGTACATAAAAATAAAAAAAAGATACTATGTCCACTTAAAACTAAAAAATATAAAAAAAGAGAAAGTCAAGATATTCTACAATGTTTTTTTTCAAAGTAACATCAACTGGCCTGTTTTTCTTAAAACCTTGCTTAATGAAATACAAATATTTCACACAGAATATACACTTAATCACCATTTCGTTGATACTGACACTGAACAATTTGATTCACAACTTTTTAAACACATAAAAGTTTATTGTAAACAATAACCAAGTACAAATTACTACTTGGTACAAATTATTAAATTATTGTGGGACTCCTTAATTAGGGGGAAAAAAGAGGTCATTAATATGTATTCAAAAATAGCACTAATTAAATGAATACATTTTATAACAGTAACAGACCAATTTTCAGAATAAAGATCTGGTTTATTTTTAAGTTCCTCGTACTATTATGTTTATATATTTTTAAATTATGTCCAAATCACATTAATATGCAAATTTTTCAAATGAAACATAAGAAAACATAACAACAAGAAGGGCGCAGTGGGTGCCTGACTATAATCCTAGCCGTCTGGAGGCTAGGGCAGGAAGATCACAAATTCAAGGTAAGCCTTGGCAAGACAGCAAGACCCAGCAATTAGGTGACTCTCTCAAAATATAAAAGGGGCAGTGGGGTGTTGGGGATGCAGCTCAGCAGTAAAGTTGGTACTAGATCAACCCCCAGCACAAAAAAAAGAAAGTTACACAACAAATGTTTAATAACTTAGGATTTGATGACTACTTCTTTATAAAAGATGGGCACTTAGAAAGTTCTGTGCCTTACACAACAATCAACCCCAGTTTGTAAGACATTTACCCATCATGTTATTCAAAATAACTAGTACCTAACAACTATCATTCTAAAAATCTACATACATACACATAATGCCCCTCATTTATTATCGAAATTACAGCATTAATATAATCTTACTTCCTACAGTTTTAAAAAACAAAAAGGCCCTATTCCATAAACACTTATAAAATAAGAGATATTACATTATGAGATACACAAATTAAAGACTGATTTGTTCATTGTAACTGACAGAAATCAAAGTCCAAATAATGAAATTTCTAAGTCAAGATGTTGGGTTACTTTTTAAAATGCTGATATAAAATTTCAAAATGCTAATTTATCAGATGGGATTGCAAAGTGCCTATTTTAACAGTCAATTAACATGGGCCACTTAAAATCTTAAACATTCTTTCAGCCTTTCTAAGTATCGAAGTATCAAAATTAAAAAAATTAACTGTCAACAAGTTGTATCCAAAAATAGTTCACTAAAAATACAACATAATAAATTTATCTGTTATCTATTCATTATAACAAGGTTTTCTTCTTCCAGCTCAATATTCTATTTTAGTTATTAAAAATAAAACTACCTATAATGATAGTTTGTTCATAACTGTTAAATCCATGTGACTGATCTCAGTATACCTGGGTATTTGTGATGGCAACACTATTATTTTGTACTGCCTATTTATTGTGTAAAGTAACCTATGAAATATTGTCATATTTTATATGTAAATGTCCTTTTTAAATAAATAAAACTACCTAGAAATGAGTTCCATTAGTCTTCACCCATTCTTACCTTTTGCTAACTAATCAACATTGCTTTCAACCCTGTCAAAACCCACACCTAAATGTCCAAATCAGCATCAAAATGAGTAACCTAAAATTTAAGGGCAAATATAAACAACTCTTCTTTATTCTGCCTTTGGGTCCAAAACTCTTGTTACTTGTTAATTACAGAATATGTACATATTCAGATTTCAAAGATTTAATAGTAATGGTTTCTAACACTTTTAATAAAATTGTACCATAACAAAACAATTTTGATATACAATTACTTTCTATGAATTACTTGGCAAAACCATTTTCCATGAACAATGAAAAGGAAAATATCAACTCAAACATCATAATCCTAAAATAGTCCTAGATTTGAATAAGTGCTTAATATAATTCCAAAAGATATTTTAGCCAATTTCTTTAACAGCAGTTGCTTCAAATAAATTAAAACCTAGCAAAAATCAAAATTTTTTCACTCTTCAAGGAATTCTAAGAACAAAAAATGAATGTGGATATTGTAATGATTAAATATTTGAATTTAGAATAATCTAAACACCAAACAAAACAGCACCATACCTTGTCATCCCCAGGACAACGATATAAATTCTGAAAAGTGCTAATGATGTTATTACTAAATCGGGGTGCAAACACATCCTTTTCTTGACCAAACTGATGTCGGGATTGTCTCACAATGGAGTCAATAACATAAAGTCCAGGTACCTTGTATTCTGGTTTACACTGATGAGAAAAAGAGTGGGAAGGGAAGAAAACAAAGGTAAAAATCATCATAAATCCTATAGAAATACATAAACACTGCTCATGCTGTAATGAATATTCAAACACTGAGTATTCCACACCATATGTCTCTGGAATGGCATTTTAAAGAATCTACTTTGGCTATGTTCCTCATTCAGTTCAACTGTCAGTCATCCAAGTTCCAAAATAGTACTGCATAACTGATTTCAATGAAAAAAAATTATAAATAAGGTATTGTTATGATATTTAAATTTGCATAATGATTTTGAAAAGCTACGGAAAGAAAAAGCAAATTAAGGACAGGACTCTAAAATTCATTGCCTACATGTATTAGGATTTCAATATAAAACACATAACAAAGGGTTTCTAGGGCTGGGGATGTGGCTCAAGCGGTAGTGCGCTCGCCGGGCATGCACACGGTGCTGCGTTCGATCCTCAGCACCACATACAAATAAAGATGTTGTCTCTGCTGAAAACTAAAAAATAAACATTAAAAAATTCTCTCTCTCTCTCTCGAAAAAAAAAGGTTTCTATACTAATTCAAAAACAAACAACAAATGGCAAGTTATACCATTCTAAATACAAGGAACCCAAAGTTTCAAACGTTTTTCAAACACCCCAACTATAAGAGATAAGACATTACCATTATAATTCTGGGAATTTATCCTATGAAAACATTTTTCAAGAACTCTCCTGGGTTATTTCTCAATCATATTGTGAAATTATAAGTCCCCGACTTTTTAACTACAGGCTTTTTTGGCCTATAGTAAGTCAGTCAACACAATGAAGAATCCTTCTTTAAAAAAAAAAAAAACCTGAAGCTTACTTCTCCTATTTTTGTTTCCATACCAAAAACATAAAAAAAAGACTGCCTATCAGCATATATTGGAATAAAAGAAAATTATGGTTACAGAGCAAGTTTGTTTTTTAGTAGTATAAAAGCTTAAATATTTTCACCTAAAGTTATTTTCTGGCACATATGGCATTAAAACAAAACTGTATTAGGAGAATGTTCTTGGAAATCTGAGTATCATCACTGATACAAGAATCCCCAACCCAGGCTGGGGCTGTAGTTCAGTGGCAAAGTACTTGCCTAGCTGGGTTTGATCCTTAGCACCACATAAAAATAAGTAAATAAATAAAATAAAGGCTTCCTGACAATCTACAACTACCAAAAAAAATTTAAAAAGAAAAAGAAAAACCCAAACCCATCCCTAACAAACACACACACACACACACACACACACACACACACACACACACACACACACAGTTTCTAACTGGGATTTTCAGCCAAAACAATGATTAATTTCATTCTTCAAAAAGGCTAGGTGGCATTTAGTTTGTTCCTTAAAACCCTTTTGAAGAACCTATCTAGTAAGGGTCTTTATTAAGCTGGAAAAAATGCAGAGAACTTTAACTGTAATTCAAAGAGTCTGTTAGGAGAGATGTGGGCTATTACATGCTTGAAGTATTTCATAAAAGAGCAATAAATTAGTGTGGACATTAAAGACTTAGAGTAAACTGAAGGATCAAAAAACTTTGTTTTAAAGTTTCTGTTTTTAAATGTCTCAAGGAGTTGAGGCTTTCCCTCATGTCCAAAACACTGACTTATTTTTCTTCACTTTATCCATCTAGCCAAGGTTAACTTCCTTTCACTATCATACATTCAAAGAATTAACTATCTACCCTAGCTAACAATACCCGTCAGTAAATAAAACTTTCTAAACTTAATGAAAACCAGAACATCCACTTTGGTAAACACACACACACACACACACACACACACACACACACACACTATTCCCCAGTGCTAGAAACACAGATCAGTGCTTAATAATTATTTACTGACTGGCATTTAAACTTTCCCAAAGGCAGAAAACAATCTTATACATAATGAATTATTTTACACAAATGATTATCTTGAGTAAGACTGAACAGAACTTATGCTGATAAGAGTTTTAAAAATTAATGTATGAGTAATGCAATAATTAATGTGGTGTCTTTTTAAAAAATTAGTATCCAAACATCATTACTATGTTGAGGTTTTTTTTTAATATCTTTATTTTGTTTATTTTTATGTGGTGCTGAGGATCGAACTCAGTGCCTCACATGTGCAAGGCAAGCGCACTCTGCCACTGAGCCACAACCCCAGTCCCAAATGTGGTTGTCTTTTTTAATCTTTTCCTTTTATTTATACCAAAAATTCTGACCATAAACTTAATTCAGAATAATGATGAGTGTGTGCTATAAACAATTTCCTTTCATGGCCATCTGTGAAGATTCTAAAGCTTCAAAAATATATTAGCAGATTTATTAGTGAATAGTAACACCTAAAGAAAAACATTCTTTCTTCCACAGTTACCTTCGGACATACTCTATACCAACATGTTGTGTCTCAGAATTTTTTATACTACTGCTTTGGATATTTTTCCACATAAGAGGGCAGAAAAACGATTTAAGTACAATTTAATATTTAAATATTAATAACTTTAAATAACCATAGCAAATTAAGACAAAGAAATATGAAATGTTGTTCAAATTTTTATTATATTGGACTGAAAACAAGAATTTCTAAGTCTCTCCAATGGCAGGGCATGTTATATTTTTACTCTTGAAATAATTTTTTAAAAACTGTATCATGCAAAATATTTACAGATATACCATCTTCAAACAATATTCTAATAATTTCCAATTTCCCATGCTTCAGAGAAAGTCACTTAGAAAAAGAAAGGGAAGAATGACTAGAGAGAATGCACCTTTAAATATACTTGTGTGATTTTCATGCTGCCATCCAAATTCGCATCTGCTGCTATCATCAGGCAGAGTTGTTTAAAAAGAACTCTCCAGGCCAGTTGGACTACACATGAATCCTATTAGAATTTGTGCTGCCACTTTCAACTACTAAAAGTTGAATGTAAAAACAGAGCTGGAACAGTAAAAAAAACAGGAGTAAGGGGCTATACCTGCAAAACACTGCATGATGCTGATGGTGGCCATGAAAGAGGATTCCCAGGATATAGCCATGCCTGAAACCATGAGTGATTTTTCTTTCCTCTGTACACTGAAAAGTTTGGCTTGTTAGCTGCCAACATTTAGTGGCGCTAGCAGCAAAATTCCGTTATTTCTAGCTTGTATAGTAAACAAAGATTCTTAAATCACAGAGTAGACTAGGTGGGAGCTGCAATGAAAATAGCTTTTTCCTTGGCTTAAAAATATTTCCTTTGTGGGGCTGGGGCTGCAGCTCAGTGGCAGAGTACCTGTATAGCACATGTGACTCACTGTGTTCGATCCTCAACAGCAGCACATAAAAATAAATTTTAAAAAAGTATTCTGTCCATTTACAACAACAACAAAAAACAATTAAAAAAAAAAAAAGACTTCCTTTGTGTCATGACACACAAATACAGTGTACTTTTCTACTTATCTTACATTAAAAAAAAAAAAAAGCTAACACATGCAAAAAGAACAATAACACTGACAGGTAACTAGCAAATGTGATCAAATTCACTAATGCTAAGAAGTGCTCCAAGAGCTTTCTAACTATTCTAGACATTCATACCAAGATTTTCTTGCTGTTTTGTTTGTTTGACCCCTGTAGGTTATTTTAGGAATCTCTACATCCTACCTCAAATACACATATATTACAAAAATAAGTATGATTTTTCAAATTATCTACCTTCCTGAAGATTCTAATATTCATACAACGTGGGCCCTAATTGCAGCTTCATCCTATTTGAGAAAAAAAAATCATTGCTCAATCAGTGTTTTTAACATTTTGGGAGTGTTCTCTAATAAGACTCCTTGTACACTGTGGAAGTTTACCAGGTGGTTCCCTACACCTTCTGAAGCTTGTTCATAGATTTCTTCAGGTATCAGTAAAATTACATTATTAACTTTAAAATGTATCCTTGCATTATTTCTCCCACAGAATTTAAAGAGGTCAGTATTATGCCATAGGCCACATGGAAGAATTTTATAAGAATCAAATAAATTCCCTTCTGTATTTAAAATAAGCTTGCTGTTTAGGAGACAAATGACTACTTTACTGGATTATTTATCAAGTAAATTATAAATTCTGTTATACCCCCCATTCTATATGAAGCAATGGTAAAAAGAAACAAAGTTGCTTCTCTATTAAATATAAAGTTGTTTAGTAAATAATTCACTATATTATCTAATGCCTTCCAACCAGATTGCAGATACAATCAAGAGAGAGATAATGTGTCCTTCAAGTTTTCCCCAACTGAGTTTTCTAAGCAGCAAATTACTATTACTTGATGATTTAACACTGATCATTTAGATCATGATCATTTTAGCTATAAAATTTACAGTTTAATGTACTGTCAATTAAGGAATTCTAAGAAATCATGAGAAATTTATATATGTTCCTTAAGTGTTTCCTAAGATTTTGTTTCCTTTATGTAAGATAATAACTGGTTTATAGCATAAGATTTCATACTATGGGGTACCTATAAAGTCTACAAACCTAGGCTAATTAACATAATAGCTACACTATTAAAAAAAAACAACAGCAGCATGTCTCAGACTTTATGGATATCCAATATTAGTTTAGTAAAGATTCAACAGGAACTAAGCATATAATAATACTCTTAACAGAGTCTATAACATCTTCACTGCTAATTCTGAACGAATCTATGTAGTATTTCCTAAGAAAATAACAGCTAAGTAAACAAATTCGGTAAGAGATATTAGTACAAAATAGAAAGAAAGATCAAATGATATTTTCTCTTGGATGGCCAACTAAATACTTTTATGCTATTTTCCAAACTTGTAATAATTCAAATTCCAAAAGCATGGAAGCTCTGAAATTCCACAAAAGTAATATGCATTTCCACAACCCCTAAGCCAGAATAGGGGTAATCATTAGTCCATCTTCACAGAGAACCTTGATCACACCAACAAGGAAGCAAGAGATGAAAGGTGATTAGTTCTTAACTGATGTGCAAGCAGTGTCACTG